AACCAGTGATGTTACTATCGTGCTCTTTCTTTTTTCTAGACCTATTTTTATACATAGTTAAGATCATGCAGTACAAATAGTTTTTTTAATCTACGCTTGTTTGTTTAATATGATAGTGTAAATATTTTCCCATGTTCTTAAAAGCCTGTTGTTACCAGCATTTTTAATGACTGTAGATTTTTTTTTTTTTTTGGTCATTTGTAAGTGGCATATAATTTATCTGTTTCTCCGTTATTAATTTACCTTCTTTCTGATTTTTGTTCTTGAAAATAATGCAAGGCTGAACAAGGACCGTCTTTGTGCCTAAAGCTTTTATCTTCACTTTGAGCTGCTTCCTTGAGCCTAGTTCAGTGGTTCTCAAACCTGAGTGCATCAGCATCACCTGGAAGGCATGTTAAACACAGATCGCTGGGCCTCAACCCAAGGATTTCTGAGTAGGACTGAGGAAACCTGAAAACTGGCCTTTTTTTTTTTTTTTTACATCATTTTTTTAATTATTATTTTTTTAAAGATTTTATTTATTTATTTGACAGAGAGAGATTACAAGCAGGCAGAGAATCAGGCAGAGAGAGAGAGAGGGAGAAGCAGGCTCCCCGCTGAACAGAGAGCCCGATGCGGGGTTTGATCCCGGGACTCTGAGATCATGATCTGAGCTGAAGGCAGAGGCTTAACCCACTGAGCCACCCAGGTGCCCCCAAACTGGCTTTTCTAACAAGTTCCCAGGTGATGTTGCTGTGTGGGGACCACACTTCAAGAACAACTGGCCTGTGTTATTGACAATGACACTACAGTATTGAGGTTAAGTTTCTCAGGCAGTAGGAGTGATTATGATCTTGAATGAAACTGAATTCATGTACCAACCTGTATCAGGGAAGTTGAAGAGCTATAAAGGGTTGTATCAGCATCTCAGCATTGAAGATTTGTGCAGTTTGTACACACAGCAGTGCTGTTTTTTGCAAGGTGCTGTGCTGGGTTTTGTGAGCAACCCAGCTCCCTTTTGGCTGTTTTACAGTCTGTGAAATAAGACATATAAAACAGAAAGCCAGAAAAAAGGTATTAACAAAGGGCTACAGAATTCAGAGGGAGATGAGATCATGTTTGGTTAGCACATCAAAAAGTAGGAGGCCAAGAAGTAGAAAGGTCAAGAAAAGCTAGGATTTTTTTTTTAAGATTTTATGTATTGGGGCGCCTGGGTGGTTCAGTGGGTTAAGCCTCTGCCTTCAGCTCAGGTCATGATCCCAGGGTCCTGGGATTGAGCCCCACATCGGGCTCTCTGCTCTGCAGGGAGCCTGCTTCCTCCCTCTCTCTCTCTCCCTGCCTCTCTGCCTACTTGTGATCTCTGTCAAATAAAAAAAAAAAAAAAAAGATTTTATTTATTTATTTGACAGAGAGAGAGAGAAAGTGCGAGAGAGCAAGAGTGCAAGCAGGGGGAACGGCAGGGAGAGGGAGAAGCAGGCTCCCTGCTGAGTGAGGAGCCTGATTTGGGGCTTGATCCCAGGACCTTGGGATCATGACCTGAGCCGAAGGTAGACACTTAACTGACTTGGCCACCCAGCTGCTCCTAGAATATATATATTTCTTTAACTTTTAAAAAAAATTAAAGAAGGCTCCACGCCCAATGTGGGACTTGAACTCAAGACCCTGAGATCAAGAGTCACATGGTGTACCGACTGAGCCTTCCAGGCACCCCAGAGCTAGGATATTTTTAAGGAATTTCGCAAGTATGATGTCAGTGAAGCTTGGGGTTTTCAGCCAGAGAAGCCCAAGTTCAAATCTTGGTTCTGTGCTAAATTAGCTTTGTGATGTATTTCTCCTTGAACTTGTTTCTTCATCTGTAAAAAGGGGATACTATACCAGGTATGTTGGTGTAGATTACGTGACAAAACACACACTCAAAAATTGTTGAATTGGGGCACCTGGCTGGCTCAGTTGGTAGAGCATGTGAATCTTGATCTTGGGTCCATGAGTTTAAGCCCCACGTTGGGCAGGGAGCCTACATTAAAAAAAAAAAAAAAAAAAAAAGTTGAATAAATGGTAAGTTTCTTGAAGGTTTTTCATTGGTGCTGCTAAGCATTGTAATTAACAAGGCCAAATCACCAAGGCCCATCTATTGGCATAAAAGTGAATGATGCCTTTTTGAAACAGCTTTTCTATGGATTTTTTTTTTTTTTAAAGATTTTATTTATTTGACAGACAGAGATCACAAGTGGGCAGAGAGGCGGGCAGAGAAAGAGGAGGAAGCGGGCTCCCAGGACTCTGAGATCATGACCTGAGCCAAAAGCAGAGGTTTTAACCCACTGAGCCACCCAGGCGCCCCAGGATTGTATTTTAAAGGAAATATTATTGATGAAAAACGAGCGGTAGCCAAAAAGTGTGAACTTGCTGTCATTTTATTTAATATTATCTTGAGTTAGAGACTTGGATGGCCTTTTTTTTTTTTTTTTAAGATTTTATGCATTTATTTTAGAGCGAGCACGAGCACACTGGGGGAGAGGGAATGGGAGAGAAATAGACTCACCACTGAAAAAAGAGCCCCGCACAGTTCGATCTCATGACCCTGAGATCATGACCTGAGCCAAAATCAAGAGTCAGTCGCTTATCCGACTGAGCCACTCTGGTGCCCCGACTTGGATGGACTTTGATGAAATTTACTTTTATTGTATAACCGCATGCTTACCTATTGTTTTCCTCAGGTTTGCCCAAATATTGTGTAACAGCGAAGCATCTTTCTGTTGACCACTCTGGCCCTGCCTAGTCCCTGTCTTTGCTATTCTGCTTCAGTGTCCATGGCACTGACCTATATTGTGTATCGTCTGTCTGCTACTGACGCGAGTGCTATAGGAAGCAAGGACTTTGCTGTACTTAATGCTGTATCCGTACTGAGACCAGAGTCTGGCATGTAACAGTGAATTAATGATTGGGTGAATGAACCAATTGAGGATCATATTTAGGAGAAGAGGGAAGAGAAGAGTATTGGGTCAGTTCTTTTAAAAGTGGTTTTATGGGCATATTTAACCTCAGTAACAATATACTTGTATTTTAAGCTCCTGGTGTTTTATATATATATTTTTTTTTTTAAAGATTTTATTTATTTATTTGACAGAGATCACAAGTAGGCAGAGAGGCAGGCAGAGAGAGAGGAGGAAGCAGGCCCCCCGCTGAGCAGAGAACCCGATGTGGGGCTCGATCCCAGGACCCTGGGATCATGACCTGAACCAAAGGCGGAGGCTTTAACCCTCTGAGCCACCCAGGCGCCCCATGGTGTTATATTTTTAAGGCCATTCTAAGTCCGGTGGAATGATTTTGAATACCATTCCCTCTGTAGTGATATTTGTTGAGAGAAACGCAAAGCATCAGCTCACATATTTTTAGACAGTTTGTACAGAGACTCCAGTCACCAAAATTGTCTTCCAAAACCCTCCTGGTGTTGGAAGAGGTAGCAGAGTTGCTGATGAAAAGTGACTTACATTGGTATCATATACTTTATGGTGTTTACTTTTGCTCTGTACCAAATAAAAACATTTTGTTTTGTCATTGGGGCAGCGCACCTTTGCTTTGAATTGGGGGAACGGAACTTGGGTTCCGAGTCATTCGGGTAAAATAATTAATGTTGGTTTTTATTCAGGGATTAGTTTGGTCCTATCACTTCTACTTTCTGATGTCCAGTGGATTGTTCGTTTTGCTGTGTCTGTTGAAGGCAGCAATGATTGGGATATTACCACTTTTTTGCTCTTTAATTTGGAAAATGTAATTTTTCTGTAAAGATTTTACCTTTGGTTTACTGAGGTCATTAATACATTTGTTGCTGTTGCATACTACACATTAACTGATAAGGAATTGTTAGCAGTGGTCAGGTCAAGTTGGTCACCTTCATCTTAGAAATTCTAAGCAGGCAAGCCAGAAATGCCTTTAATTTAGAATTTAGCTGATTGTGTAATATGATGTAATGTGATACTCAGAGATATCAAAATTATTACATCTAGTATGGATATGAACTCATGATTCCCTAATTGTCACAAGTATCTTTCCTCATTTGTTTGATCTAGGATCTAGGTTCACACATTGTGTCCTTGTCTATAGTAGTCCCTGCTTACCTGTGGGGGATACGTCCCAAGACCCCCAGTGGATGCCTGAAACTGTGGATAGTACTGAACCCTAGGGTAGAATGTTTTTCCTTTATATACAAACCTATGGTAAAGTTTCATTTATAAATTAGGCATAGTAAGAGATTAACAACAGTAATAATAAAATAGAACAATTATAACAATAGACCATAATAAAAGTTACATGAATGTGGTCTCTCCCGAAGTCCTTTTTTTTTTTTTTTAAAGTGAGCTCTCTGCCCAGCGTGGGGCTTGAACTCACAACTCCAAGATCAAGAGTTGCATGATGTATCATCTGAGCCAGCCAGGCAGGTGCCCCTCCTAAGATCTTACTATACTTACCCGTCTTGTGATGATGTGCGATGATAAACTGCATAAATATTGAGATGAAGTGAGGTGAGTGATACAGGCATTTTGACCTAGTGTTAGGCTCACATACTGATAGACCACACTGATGGACTCACTTCTGATAGACCACAGCTGACTTCCGGGAACTGAAACCTCTCAACTGGAAACCGCAGATAAGGGAGGACCATTGTATTATGTCTTTGCTTGTCGCTTCTTTCCCATACCATTTATTTCCTGAAGAAACTGGGTCGTTTAAAATTTTGTAGGGATTCTGACATTCTGGATGCAGCTGATTGTTTTCTAAGGTTGTTAGTTAATTTGGCAATCTAATCCCTTTGTGTCTTAAAAACTGGAAGTTACATCTTGATTAAATTCAGCTTAATTTGTATTTTTTTGCTTTTTATTTTGGCAAGAATGCTTCATAGGTTGTCCTTAGCACTTCAAAATGCATTATGTCAGAAAGAGTTTCTTGTCAGACTTTATCATTTTAGTGATATTACAATTAATTAGTAAGCTTAGGTGTTAATAACCTTTTTACCTTTGTTTCAGAAAAGCTTGATTCTTTACTCTCAGACTACGATATCCTCTCTTTATCCAATATCCAACAGCATTCAGTAAGAAAAAGGGATCTGCAGGCCTCAACACATTTAGAAACACTACTGACTTTTTCAGCCTTGAAAAGGTAATTTGGATTATTTATAGAAAACTATTGGGGCAATGGGGGGCTTAGTTTGGCAAAAGTAGAAGAATAAGGGTGTTTACTGGAGTCTTAGGAAGTTACATTTTAAAAATTTGTAATATAATTATAGTCAGTAATAATTCTTATATTGCTTATTGCTTATTCCAAAATTCATAGTGCTGATTATTAAAAACAAACAAATGGGTATTCCAAAGGTATTAATGATGGGGTAATGATGTTTACGGGATTCTAAAAAAGGATTTTAATTAATTGAATGATTTATAATACCCTAAAATATTTTTTTCTACTTTAGAACCATCAGCTGTGTACTAAATAATATCTTTATTTTATATATGAAGACACTGAGGTTTAGAAATCAAAGATTTGTTCAGGACCTCACAGCCTTGTGGTAATAAATTAATATAGTGCCATAAATCAATATGGTCTCTCTGGGCAGTAATTTTGCTTTCTCTTAGTTTTGCAGATGTAAATCTGTTAGATAATTGTAGGTCTTGTTCTAAAGTCTTTTTAGGGAGCTTTACTAATATCAAAACACACAGAGAATGTAAATGGACTGAATCACTCTGTATTTGAACAACAAATGATGAAGGCCTGTTTTTACTTTTTTAAATTTTTTTTTTTTAAGATTTTGTTTATTTATTTGAGAGAGAGCGAGCGAGCGAGAGAATGAGCAGAGGGAGGGGCAGAGGGAGAAGCAGACTCTGTGCTGAGCAGGGAGCCCGATGTGGGGCTCAGTCCCAGGACCCTGGAATCATGACCTGAGCTGAAAGCAGTTGCTTAACTGACTGAGCCACCTAGGCTCCCCACAGCAAATATTTTTAAAAAAGAAAATAATACATGCACTTGGTTTAAAAAGTGAACTATGGAGGGTATAAGAAATTTTCAGGTCCTCCTCAAACTTCGCAAATGCAGAAGTTTCCCAAATAAATTTCTAAAAGATTTTAATGCATATTTTTTGCATATAGATCTGTGTACGTGTAGATAATACAGGTAAGTAGATTTACCTCCTTTTTAACAGCTGCATAAATATTTCTATTTCGTGGAATTGTAATGGTTTGTTCTCTAATAACCCATAGATACATATTGTTTAACTGAAGTGATTTTTGCTTTCTATAGCAAACAGTGCTCTGATAACTATCGTTGTGACTATACCTTGTTTAGGTATTTTTATAGGATACATTCCTGAAAGAATGAGTCAAGGGTATACATACTGTAAATGTTTACTGATGTTACCATATTTCTTCCTAAAGACATTAGCCCAGTTTGTTGTTCTAGCAGCAGTGTATGAGCTTACCTATAACCTGTTATCCTTGGCAATACTAGTTTTTATCAGCCCTTAATTTTTGTCCCTGTGAAAGGGGATAGAGTCTCATAGTTGTCTTGATTTTCATTTTGTGTGAAATTGAGCATCTTTTCATGGTTTTGTAAGTCATTTATTTTTCTGTGTCTACCTTTTTTGTATCCTTTTATCATTCTTCTGATTGGTTTATTCTGTCATGCTTAGTATATTTATCATATGTGTAACTGATATTTCATGCAAATATATTTTATAATATCTTTTTTGGCTTTTTTAAGTTATTGCCATTATCCTTAGATTATTTCTGAGTAATTTCTTTCTATCAGAGTTCATGTCAAATTGTTGTGTTGATTATCCAGCTTCCAGACCTATAGCAAATTTGAGCAGTGATGATATTAATCATAGTCCTAGTTTATCCGCTACTTTGTGTAATTCACTTTGTGTGTGCTATCTCTAATTCTCACTGTGCTCCACAAAGAAGTTTTCGTTTCTCTGCTTTTGGGGGAAAAAAAAATTGAGACTCAGAGAAGTTGGGTAACTTGCTCAAGGTCACACAGCTAGTAAGTGGAAGATAAAGGATTTGAATTCAAGTCTGTGCTATTTTAGCTCTGCTGATAGGGATTTTGGTGAAGGAGCAGGTATAGTAGTAAGAGGTAAATAGGAGCAAAGGATAAGGGGAAGACTGCAAAATAAGAACTCAAAATTTAGCTTTCTGAGTTTCTTTTTTCAATTTAGGTTGGAGGTGGCTTGTAAAGTTTTTTCTGTGGGGGAAATATTCCCATAACCTCACACATTCCTCTCTTCCGGGTCTCATAGATGACACTGATTTTTTTTTTCAATTTTATTTATTTGACAGGGAACACAAGCAGGGGGGAGTGGGAGAAGCGGGAGCCCAATTCAGGGCTTGATCCCAGGATCCTGGGATCATGATCTGAGCTTGAAGGTAGACGCTTAATGCCTGAGCCACCCAGGTGCACCAGATGACATTGATTGTTTAAGAGGATGTTCAACAATATCTGTGTTTTATCTCTCTGTGTAAGGAGGCAGGGAGGTTTGTAATTTATCTTACAGAGTTTCCACCTTTAGTTTTTTTATTTTTAAGGTTTATTTATTTATTTGACAGAGAGAGGCATAGCAAGAGTGGGAACATAAGCAGGGGGAGAGGGAGAGGCAGGCTTTCTACCAAGGAGGGAGCCCAATGTGGGGCTCGATCCCAGGAGTCTGGGATCATGACCTGAGCCAAAGCTAGGTGCTTAACCACTGAGCCACCCAGGCACCTCCTCTGAAGTGTTTAAATGGAGATATATCTAACCGTGTAGGAAAACTTTGGACCAGGTACTTTAAAATAGTTTATTTCATTTAACCCCCCAAAACTATTCAATTAGTAGGTGGTATTATGGTATTATTTTCATTTGTGGATGAAGATACTTAGGTTCAGAGGTAAAGGCCAAGATCAAGCACTAAGTGGTGGAGACAGGATTTGAGCTAGGTTTGTCAGACTTCAAAGCCCTTTCTGTTACACTGTGTTGTTAAAAGAAAACAAAGCGGGATATTTGAAATGATCAGTTTATATAGGGCCGAACTTACCAATGTGAAGCTGCTCATTACTAGATGGTAATTGTAAATGATCAGATATTTTGGTTTCTGAAACTGAATAATGCATTTAGAATAGGCTTGCTTTTTTTTAAAGATTTTTTTAAACAAAGTCATCAGTGTAACGGAAAAAATCGTAGCTGTGAATGTGTGGGAAGATATGTTTTAGGAGAACAGGAGAAGATAGTCTAAGGATTTTTGAAATAATGTTCTATTGTCTCTCTGTCCCTCTGACCATTAAAAAACCACAAGCGAACTAAAATTACCTTGTTTTGCTCAAAAAGTTAAAAATACTTGTTGCTATGGAGACAGTCCCAGTCTAGATTCTTTCTGGCAGTGTAGACTTAGGCAAACCCACGGGAAATAACATTTCATAGTTTCAGCCCCACAGTTCACAAAATTTGTTCCTGTGGTTGAGATGAGAAACATACCTTTATCTTCGGTATTCATGGGCACATTGAAAGGGTAAATAATAATTGAAAAATTCTTGCTCACCACACCCAGATTTTATGTCAGAACTGAAACTGGTAGAAAACAAAAGAATATTAAGCTGACTAAATAACTAAGTATGTATTTTAATGTCTGTGTTGGATATCTTATATTTATTTTCCTCGTAGGAATTGCGGATTAATTTTTTTCAAGAGAAGTTCTCTTTAGAAGGAGAAAAAAAGCATGAGTGCTTTTAAATATAGGAAGTAGCAGTGATTAATTTTGCAGAGCAATAAAACTGGCTTGATTGCTAGAGGCATCACAGTATAGGTTTTTGAAATACAGCACTTTGGTTTCCAGGTTCATCATTTACTAGCTGTGTAACCTTGAGTATGTTGATTGACCTTCAACTGGCGATATTTACTGTGTGAAGTGGAGACAGTGTAAGCAGAGCATGTAGCGCTGAGTAGGTATTCAGTAAGTTATACCTAATACCAGGCATTGGTAAGTTTTTTAGACAAGCAGGATTTGAACTTAAACTGTCCATGTGTGTTTCCTTATTCTTCACAGTCTCCAGGAAATATGAACCCATAAGCTGTTTGAATCTTTTCCCCCCTAATTCTGGTCTTCTGTTTTGCTGAATTCTTAACAGCCTAAAGAAATTTGTCAAAAAAAAATTTTGTCTATTCGTCTTTGTAGGTGAAATAATGCTAAGTACCTAGTAAAACAGTTATAACTTTCATAGTGTTTTATTAATGTCAAATCTCAAGTTATTTTTAAGTAGGCTTAATTTTATGTGCTTAGAGTAAAATTTTATGTGAAAATTTTATGTGCAGTAAAATTTTATGTGAAAATTTTATGCGCTTACAGTAAAATGTGGATGCATGTTTTTCTTTAGGCATTTTAAATTATACCTGACATCAAGTACTGAACACTTTTCCCAAAATTTCAAAGTCGTGGTGGTAGATGGTAAAGATGAAAGTGAGTACACCGTCAAATGGCAGGACTTCTTCAGGGGACACGTAGTTGGTTAGTATGAAGCTTGTTTGTTTGCCCTTGTGTCTGGGGGTATTAGGTGTCCAGATCTAGTTTGATTTCATATTCTTTTTTGGTGGGAGGAAGAAGGGGTGTCAAAGGACTGCTCTTTGTTGTATCTAAGTTATGTAAGTTTGAAAGGAGGAACGTTCAAACAGGAGGAAATGAGGATTATCTTAGCATGGATACTGATTATCTATTTTAATGATTACAGTGAATTTCCTCCTTTTTTTTTTTTAAGATTTTGTTTATTTATTTGTGACAGAGATCACAAGTAGGCAGAGAGGCAGGCGGGCGGGTGGTTGGCGTGGGGGAAGCAGGCTCCCTGCTGAGCAGAGGGCCTGGTGCAGGGCTTGAACCCAGGACCCTAAAATCATGACCTGAGCCGAAGGCAGAGGCTTAACTCACTGAGCCACCCAGGTGCAGTATTTCCTCCCTTTTGATAAGAATTTAACCTCTTGTCTCAGGGAAGGATCATAGGCTTCCCTTATGAGATTTTAAACAGGGAAGCTAGGAGGTAAAATAATTGACTTTATGAATCTGTTAAGTACTTATCTAAGATGGTGTATCAAATGAGCAATTGTGGCTTACTTCTGGAACTTCCTCTGCAGAAAAAGAAATGGCATTAAAATCTGCAAATAGGGCGCCTGGGTGTCTCAGTTGTTAAGCATCTGTTTTGGCTCAGGTCATGATCGCAGGGTCCTGGGATTGAGGCCCACATTGGGCTCCATGCTTGGCGGAAGCCTCCTTCTCCCTCTCCCACGCCCCCTGCTTGTGTTCCCGCTCTCTCTGTCAAATAAATAAATAAAATCTTTTAAAAAAATCTGCAAATAGAGCAAGCCCTGTGTATTCCAGATCATGCTTTCTGCCCTCCTCTTAGTTTATTTGTGTTCTCTCTCTCTTTTTTTTTTTTTTTTTTTTTTTTTTTTGAGGAGGAGGTGGAGGGGGCAGAGGCAGAAGGATAGAGAGAATCCTAAGCAGGCTCCACACCAAGCGCAGAGCCTGTGGGGGCTTGATCTCACAACCCTTAGATCATGACCGAGCTAAAATCAAGAATTGGGTGCTTAATCAACTGAGCCACCCAGGCACCCTTCTCTTAGTTCTTTGTTAACCAGTCATAAGTGATATTACTTCAGAAGAACATCTACACGTTTGTTTGGTTTTGTTCTATAACACACTAGGAAATTTTTACAAGAAGATTGAGGGAAAGAGAAAGGTTTCAGATGAGTTGAGGCTACTCTTTGGAAATGTGACTATCTTGCTGCTTACTGGTGCCTCTGTTTCTTGTGGCAGATTTCTACAGTACCTAGGCACATTCCACTCTGATGAAGGACTCTGTTGATTTTTATTGACACTAGTGCATAGTTTATTTTTTGATATAAGTATTTCTTAATGATGGATTTTTCTTTTTCTCTTAAGGTGAGCCTGACTCTAGAGTTCTAGCCCACATAGGAGATGATGATATTACAATAAGAATCAACACAGATGGGGCAGAATATAATATAGAGGTAAATCTATATGTACATTTTTGGGGGGCGGAAGGAGCTGTTAAAAAAGCCATTTCCCAGTTGTTTTAAGAAGACAAAGGTCTTTAATGATACTTACTTCTTTTTTCCTTGTGTTTGAAGTTTCTACCAGTGAATTAGATGATTTTTAAAAATAATTTTAAAAAATTTTTTATAAACATATAATGTATTATTAGCCCCAGGGGTACAGGTCTGTGAATCACCATGTTTACACACTTCACAGCACTCACCATAGCACATACCATCCCCAATGTCCATAACCCCACTACGCTCTCCCTACCACCCCCACCCCTCAACCCTCAGTTTGTTTTGTGAGATTAAGAGTCTCTTATGGTTTGTCACCCTCCCGATCCCATCTTGTTTCATTTATTCTTCTCCTACCCCCCAACCCGCCTACATTGCATCTCCACTTCCTCATATCAGGGAGATCATATGATAGTTGTCTTTCTCTAGCTGACTTATTTCGCTCAGCATAATACCCTCTAGTTCCATCTACGTCATTGCAAATGGCAAGATTTCATTTCTTTTGATGGCTGCCTAGTATTCCATTGTGTATATATATACCACATCTTCTTTATCCATTCATCTGTTGATGGACATCTAGGTTCTTTCCATAGTTTGGCTATTGTGGACATTGTTGCTATAAACATTCGAGTGCACATGCCCCTTCGGATCACTACGTTTGTATCTTTAGGGTAAATACCCAGTAGTGCAATTACTGGGTCGTAAGGTAGCTCTATTTTCAACTTTTTGAGGACCCTCCATGCTGTTTTCCAGAGTGGCTGCACCAGCTTGCATTCCCACCAACAGTGTAGGAGGGTTCCCCTTTCTCTGCATCTTCGCCAGCGTCTGTCATTTCCTGACTTGTTAATTGTAGCCATTCTGACTGGTGCGAGGTGGGATCTCATTGTGGTTTTGATTTGTATTTCCCTGATGCCGAGTGATGTGGAGCACTTTTTCATGTGTCTGTTGGCCATCTGGATGTCTTCTTTGAAGAAATGTCTGTTCATGTCCTCTGTGCATTTCTTGATTGGATTCTTTGTTCTTTGGGTGTTGAGTTTGCTAAGCTCTTTATAGATTTTGGATACTAGTCCTTTATCTGATATGTCCTTTGCAAATATCTTCTCCCATTCTGTCATTTGTCTTTGGTTTTGTTAACTGTTTCCTATGCTGTGCAAAAGCTTTTAAAAATATGGAATGCTTTACAAATTTGCGTGTCATACTTGTGCAGGAGCCATGCTAATCTTCTCTGTATCATTCCAATTTTATTATATATGCTGCCGAAGCGAGCACTAGATGATTTTTTATAAAAAAGGTAATATTTTCTACACATCTGAGAAGCTGTCATAAATGCACCCTCTATTTCTAAATGCCATAACTGAGAGGTCACATGTGGAATGGATAATGGGAGGAAAAACTTTCTTTCTCTCCTGATTCATTTTTTAATTCTTTCTTTAATAATCCTACTATAAGTATAAATGTTCTTAAAGCCAAAGTCAAGTCTTATTTCTCCTGTTCCCTCTTAGATGCTCAGGAAATGTAAGATCAATAAAAGGCGATAGTTCATATTCTGAAAAGTTAGAAGAGGAAACTAAAACTCAGGTTCTGGGCCGCTCTTCCACTAAAGTACTAGCAGTAGAAACCAAACTAGCTGTTTTGTACAGGATGTATAACCCTGTGTCCTACACTAAGCCAGAAAACAAAACGCTTGCCACAGATTTGTGGATTGAAGCTTCTGTTTCTAGGAAGATGCAAATACTCTGGGTGGTCGTGACACCGAACCAGCAGCTGTGGGGAAACAGTAATTACAGTTGGTCAGAATGAAAGTTTAATGTGTATCTGAGTGCTGATTGATTGGGTTAGGACCACATGCTGGTGCTATAAATGCTGTAAATTTTTTTTAAAGATTTTATTTTTTGACAGAGCACAAGCAGGGGGAAGGGCAGAAGGTGAGGGAAAAGCAGGCTCCTTGCCGAGCAGGGAGCCCCATGCGGGGCTTGATCCCAGAACCGTGGGATCATGACCTGAGCCAAAGGCAGACACTTAACGATGGAGCCACCCAGGCGTCCCAATACTATAAATTTTAATAACATCCAGTTTGCATGGCCACTAGTCATTTGTCCATCCTTGTGAAAGAGAAGTCTGTCTCTGGCCTTGCGGTCTATTTTGGTCTGCTAGTATGTAGACCATCTAATGTCAGTGTTGTGGGGAGTTTAGCTTACCAGAAAGAGTCAGAAAATTAGCACAAATTAAATGAGCATTTACTTCAAAATGGGCGAATTAGTTAATTCTTAAATTTCCTTATTCTTTTAGTCCATTTTTAAAATGTACCTTTATTTTAAAAAGTACTCCCAGAAATTTTCAGAAAATATATCTGAAACCTTACTGAGAAATAGAACTACTGTTAACATTTTGATGAGTATCCTTCCAAATTTTTTTCTGTACATGTATGCACACTTAGGTGTTTATACTTTTTCCTATAACATTAGGACCATACAGTATGTACAGTTTGTTGTCATGCAGTTTTTTAAAAAGATTATTTATTTGAGGGGGGAGGAGAGAGAGAGAAAGTGAGCACAAGCGAGGTGGAGGGGCAGGGAGAGAGGATGAAGTAAGATCCTCACTGAACAGGGAGCCCGACACAGGACTTGATCCCAGGAGTGCACAATCATGACCTCAGCAGAAGGCAGCCGCTTAAGCAACTGAGCCACCCAGACACCCCTGTTGTCACATTTTTTCTAAATTTTTAAAAAAATTCAGTTTAGTTAACATATACTGTCATGCATTTTTTAAAATTCAAGTATAATTGTGAACATGTTTCCATATTAATAAATTTAGATCTACATTAGGGTCGTTAAAAGTATTTTATTTATGTGACAGCAGACAAGCTGGCAGAGCAGCAGGCAGAGGGAGAGGGAGAAGCAGGCTCCCCGCTGAGCAGGGAGCCCGAGGTGGGCCTCGATCCCAGGACCCTGAGATCATGACCTGAGCCAAAGGCAGAGGCTTAACCGACCGAGCCACCCAGGCGCCCCTAAAGGTTTTAATAAACGCTGCCTGTTGGTTCCCTTAACATGGTACTGTTTATTCAACCATCTCCCATTGATGTTCATTTTTGTTTTGTTTCTCATTTTTTGAAATAAAAAATGCTACAGGGGCGCCTGGGTGACTCATTGGCTAAGTGCCCGCCTGCCTTTGGCTCAGGTCACGATCCCGGAGTCCTGGGGCTGGGCCCAGTGTCAGGATCCCGAGCCTGCTTCTCCCTCTCCCCCTGCCACGCTCCCTGCTTGTGCGCACGCGTGCGCACGTGTTCTCTCTGTCAAATAAATAGTATGTGAAAGTGCTCTAGCAGACCGCTTGGACACGCCTTTCGGGGCATGCATTTAGTTAGGACAGTCTCGGTGATCGGAAATCTCGTGGGTTTGGGGAGGACACCGAGTCGGCTGAGCCAGGGTTCCGCAGCAGCCGCCCTTGCAGCTAGGCAGCCGTGGAGCTTTGTTCCGTCCCTCACCGAGGTGGATGTGGGTCGGGTCGTCCTTCTCCAGCTTGTAGCTCTGATGTCTGGACACATCCTTCAAGGTTGCCACAGATGGGAAATGAAGCTAGAGAATCCCGCAGGGGCTTTTAAGGGCCAGACCTGGAAGTGGCTACATCACTTGCACCCAGGTGGGACTGGAACGCTTGTCTCTGACTTGCCTGCAAAGAAGCCTGGGAAATATCCTCTTGTCTTGTGCTCAGAAAGAAAACAGCGTGGGGAATGCTCAACATTGTTTCTGCCACCGTGCATGTGTCTGCTTATGTCCTTAGAAGAACCTGTTCCTTTTTAATTCAAAATGTGTACATGTACGATCCCAGCTAAATTTGCTCAGGTTCCTCACTTTTCCAAATAATTTCTTGGGGAGAATTAGCAATTCTGTTTCCATCCATATCTCCTTGTCTCACTAAATAAAAAAATGGATATAATTAATATTTTATTGTGCGACGTTTACTTAAAAGTAAACTCAGCAGGTTTATTGAAGGACTTCCACATGAGATTAATAATCTTTTAATAAAAAAGTGGTTTACTACAATGGCAGTTTTTATATCCCTTATTACATAATTCTTACCTGCATTTAGCCTGATACAAAAATGATAAAATCTTAGACATAAGAGTCAACAGGAAAATGTATATATCTTATTTTTAACATTTCACTATTAAACATTTTAAGCCTTTGCTGATTTTATCAACAAAGTTTGCTATTTATATAAATAAGCCTAGGTTAAACTTTAATCATAAGAATTATTTTCTCCTCCCTACCTTTTTGCTTTGAAAATGTTCAGATTTACAGAAGAATTACAAAATACCCTATAACCCTTCATTAACTAATAACGTAATACCATGTTTGCTTTATTGTCCGCCCCCACCACCAATCCTTTGAAAATAAGTTATAGACATGATGACACTTCACCCCTGAATGCTTTAGTGTGCATCTCCTAACAGTAAGGATATTCTTCTACATGGCCACAAAAAAACAACACACCTAAGTAAACAAACATAATCTAAAAATGCATAGTCAGAACATCCAGTCATCCTCAAAATCTCCATCATAGATATTTCCCCCCCAGTTTAGGGTCCAAGAGGTTCTTGCCTCTTAGTTATTCATCAGAAGACTTTTTCTGGCTAATTGTTAATAGTGGTGAAAATAGGATTTGCTTTTATTAGCAGTAATAGTAGCTACTCTTATCTTGAAATCTTAATATATAACTGCATTCATTATTTTATGTATCTTCAAGATAGGTGTATTAGTACTTTACCCAGTGAGAAAAGTTATCTTCAGATAAGTTACTTGTTGAAGATACACAGTTAGGGGTATGGTTGAGGTTTAAGCCTGGGTATCTCTGATCCCAAACCCTGACGTTTTTTTCTGTGTCATACTGACTATATCAGGAAACTTAATATGAATTTAGAAATGTTCATCCAAAAAAACCATTTTTGTCTTTTCCTATTTGTAGGCCAGACGAAGGTCCCTACAGCCAAGGTGTTGGTTAGGTAACTTTCTGAGGTTTCTGCTAGCTCTGCTGCTCATTGTTTCTCAAATCTACCTCATGTGGATTATGAAAGAAGATCCACACACGTACCCTTGACCTTTGAATAACATGGATTTGAACTACATGGGTCCACTTATATACACATTTTTTCAGTAAATGTATTGAAAGATTTGTGGAGATTTGCAACAATTTGAAAAAACTTGCAGATGAACCATGTAGCCTAGAAATAATGAAAAAATTAAGTATTATTGTAAGAATATATTGTATAATACATCTAATGTACAAAATATGTGAATTGACTATTTATGTTGTTGGTAAGGCTTCTGGTTAACAGTAGGCTGTTAGTATTTGTTTTGGGGACATCAAAGTTACATATGATGGATTTTCAACTGCATGGGGGGGGGGTGTCAGTTCCCCTAACCCTGGCATTGTGGAAGAGTCAGCTATATTTAACAGCTTTATTGAGATAAAATTCACATACTGTACAGTTCACTCACTGAAAGTATGAAATTCATTGGCTTTTAGTATATCCTAGAGTTACGGAAGTCATCACCACCATCCATTTTAGAACACTGTCCTCACCCGCAGAAGCAGTACTGGACCCTTTAGCAGCCCACTGCTCTTTGCGCCCACATCTCCAGCCCAAGGAAACCACGGATCATGGTCTCTTCAGATTCGCTTGGTCATTCACAGAAAGGGAATCGCACTATGCGGTCTTTTATCACAGGCTTCTTAGAATGCTTTTAAGGTCCATCCACGTTGTAGCCTGTGCCAGTGCCTCATTTCTTTTTCCTGCCGAACACTGGTTTGCTTTGTGGGGACGCCACGTTGTGCTTACTCATCAGTCGGATGTTTGCGTTGTTTCCCTTTTTGACTGTTACGAAGAATGTGCTGTGAGCGTTCGTGAGCAGGTTTCTGTGTGAGCATGCATTTTCAGTTCTCTTGGGTTTATAACAGGAGTGGAATTCCTGGGTCATATGGTAACTCTATTTTTAACCTTTTTTTTTTTTAAACCTTTTGAGGAACTGCCAGTCTTTTCCGTGGCGTCTACACTGCACACTCTCACCATTTTACATTCCCTAGTGTGTGAGGCTTCTGACTTCTCCGCATCCTCACCAAAACCTGTTACTTGTCTTTGACTCCAGCCATCCTGGTGGATGTGAAGTCACATCCTTGTGGTTTAGATTTTCATCTCCATGATGGATATGGAGGGAGATTGCATATATCCACGTATATATAAAATACAGGGGTGTTTGTATGTGTGTGTACATATGATGTGTTTTTTGTACTTTCCTCACAAGCTGCCTGGTTGGATGAGACCAGCATCCTTATAGGAAGTTAGTTCTTGACTTGGTTATCCTTTCAAATACGTTAGTTCTGATTTACTATGACCTTGCAATAGGGGAAGTGAAGTGTTTTTTTTTTTTAAGGGCTTTCCCTGAAAGAGGTGCGTTTTAGGCACATTGCTGCAAGTTTTCAGTCTTCTCTCCTGTGTATAAAACCTATATGGCAAGAAGATACTAAGGAAACCAGAATGAGAAGCGTATAGGGACAGAAGGTTCATCTCCCGTTTGTTGCTATAGGTCATCACCTGGAGTGGTGTTGGTGTGTAGCAGGTGTTACATAAATGTTTCTGAGTGAATGAAAAAGGTTACGTATTTCTTTTTCTGGATCTTTTAAAAGATTTCCTAATTTGGGGCGCCCGGGTGGCTCAGTGGGTTAAGCCGCTGCCTTCGGCTCAGGTCGTGGTCTCAGGGTCCTGGGATCGAGCCCCGCATCGGGCTCTCTGCTCAGCAGGGAGCCTGCTTCCTCCTCTCTCTCTGCCTGCCTCTCTGCCTGCTTGTGATCTCTCTCTGTCAAATAAATAAATAAAAATCTTAAAAAAAAGATTTCCTAATTTGTACAAAATAATGCTTTTTTTGAATACAGATATAATCAAAGGGTGAGTAACCCATGTATTTATTTATCAGCATAGAAACTAAGAGAAATTGAAATGATTTATTTATTTTTAAGATTTTATTTGAGACAGAGTGTAAGAGAGTGTGTGGGGGTCAGGGGAAGCGTGATCCCTGGATACTGGGATCATGACCTGAGCTGAAGCAGATGCTTAACTGGCTGAGCCACCCAGGGGCTCCTGAAATGATTTATTTTTTATTAAATGACAAGTTAGTTTACTTAACCTGGAAATGAGTGTTATTTAAAAGCAAAGGATGTTGTAAGAATTGAGTATTTAGGAATTCTTATATTTTGCATCTCAATTATGTATGTTTTCTGTTTTAGCCACTTTGGAGACTAATTAATGATACTAAAGACAAAAGAATATTAGTTTATAAATCTGAAGATATTAAGAATGTTTCACGTCTACAGTCTCCAAAAGTATGTGGTTATATAAAGGCGGATAATGAAGAGTTGCTTCCAAAAGGGCTGGTAGACAGAGAGCCACCTGACGGTAAGACTTAAAAATATATATCAAATAAGAAACAAGCATTATGGCTGTCTTCAATAGGGGTGGTTGTTAATTGATTCATAATTACAGTATTTGACTTGAAAAATAGAGTTATTATCCAGGAATTTCTTTAATACTTTTGCTTATAATGTAAAAACTGAAAATACTAGAAAATAATGGTAACAGTAAAGATTGGAAAAAGTCTACAGAAAAAGGAAATTGAATAATCTGAGGGAAATTTTCTTTTTTGGTAAATAGATATTAAAGAAGGATTGATGATATATAGTGCTTAAGTGGGTGTGGAGAGGAGGGAAAAATATTTTTCTTGGGTACTTAGAAATGACAAAATAATACTGTTGAAAGACAATCTTTAGGTAAGTTTATAAGAAATTAGTTGGTACAAGGAGAGGTCTGTACTATTTAGAAAGAGGTTTTCAGTCTTGGGACAGATCGCTCTATATATTTGTATAAATATATGTTTTTAAGATTTTTTTATTTTTAAGATTTTATGTATGTATTAGAGAGAGAGAGAAAGCGTGCGCACATGTGTGCACGCATGTGTTGGGGGAGGGGGAGAAGAAGGGAGAGGGACAAGCAGACTTTCCGCAAAGTAGGGCTCCATCACAGGACTCTGAGATCATGACCTGACCCGAAGTCAGACGATTAACTGACTGAGTCACCCAGACACTCCCAGGATTTATTTTTAAAGTAATCTCCACACCTAATGTCAAGCTTGAACTCACAACCCTGAGATCAAGAGTCACCCACTCTACCAACTCTGCTAGTCCAGCACCCCAGGGTCATTAAAAAACTAACCATCTTGGAGAAGTACTCTATTGTCCTGATTTTTGAAGACTTAGAAAATATGACTGACATTTTTGTATATAAATAAATTCTCAATTGAATATTTGATAAGAAAAAGGACCTGTTATCATAAACTAATTTTAATGTCTGATTATCTTGATAGTTTTACCACTTTGCATAAATTATAAACTTCTAGAAGAAAATGACTGTTTCATAGTTCAACAATAAATTAGATTGTTTTACTTTAAGTACTTTTTAAGTTTCCTTATTTTAAAAATTAAGGAGGGGGACGCCTGGGTGGCTCAGTTGGTTAAGCAGCTGCCTTCGGCTCAGGTCATGATCCCAGCATCCTGGGATCGAGTCCCACATTGGGCTCCTTGCTCTGCAGGAAGCCTGCTTCTCCCTCTGCCTCTGCCTGCCATTCTGTCTGCCTGTGCTCGCTCGCTCTCTCTCTCATAAATAAATAATAAAAAAAAAAAATCTTTAAAAAAAAAAAAATTAAGGAGGCCCTTTACCTTGGTTTTGAATTCTATGATTTTAAAACCTCCTATTATTTTTTACTTTTCTGTCTTCTTCCATATGGTTTTTTGGTTGAAGATAGTCTTTAAGGATACTAAGCTCAAATAATGTTTGTTTCAAAAATATGCTAGATTTAAAGTGTTATTATAAAAAAAACTCCTTGTTTTGATGAATTTTGATTTAATAGTGCATACAAATTCATATTAGAGCTTGTTCATCGAGTGAAGAGAAGAGCCGACCCCAATCCCATGAAGAACACGTGTAAATTGTTGGTGGTAGCAGATCATCGCTTTTACAGATACATGGGCAGAGGGGAAGAGAGTACAACCACGAATTACTTAGTAAGTATCAGATATTGGATCAGGTCACTGGACACAAAATCGAGGTAGGGAGGCATATTCCATTTAAGAAAAGACTTCTGTGTTGTGAAATGTAATGAAATGAGATCTATTTCAGTTGCTCTGTTATTTCCTAAGATAATAGGGAGCTCTCTGAGGTCTTACACTACTCTGTAGAGAGTCTAGTTTCAAATTTTTGAAAATCCACTTTATCTTTGAACTAGTATTTTCTGCACATTAGAATTTTCATGCATATTAAGGTTTAACATTTTTTATTCAAGTGAACTCTTTGAAAACATCACTGCTGTAGTAACGGCCATGACACATGGTTGGATGTGTGCCCCAGAGCGAAAAAAAGTATTAGTCTGGACTTGTGTGTGTTCTCTGCTTATAAGTATATTTCAGAGAAGATGGTCAGTTTGGTGTTTATTGTATAAAATAGCTAATTGTCGGAATATGACTTCGTGGAGTCGATGGGACTCTTATGGTCATAACTAACGGTAGGGCAAAGATTCAGAGGAAGGGCTACAGAAGTACTGACGCTGGGTGTTTGTGCCTTTGCTATTATAATTTGAAAAGCCAGGGAATCCCATTTCATTGACATTTTTTGTTAGTATGATCTCATTCGTCATTATATCTTGGCACTGACAAAATGTTGTTGAGGGAATAAAAGAGAATGCCGCTATTCACGAACCAAGAGCATAGGCCCCCAAAGACGTCTTTCTCATGGCCTTGCTTTTTCCATTCCCTGTGTTTTATTCATACCCTCCCTCACCCTGCTTTCCCCCCTTCCAATGTCAAGTGAAAGAATTTCTTATGAGGGTAGTAGGAGTAGTGTGTGAAATCACTGTTCTTGTTCCTAAGTAGGAGAGATTGTTTCTTGAAAATGTTCCTTTCTTAATGCGGGTTTTGTATTAAGGGCCTTAATTTATTTTTTGTTTATTACCCCACAAATAGGAATATAACGAGAGGCCTAGTCTGAAAAATTGCAGTTCTTAGTTTTACACTTACTATAAGCAAAGAACAAGTTTTAGATCGCTGATCTGCTTCACAGTTGCTAGAACAAGCCTCATGCAGCCAGTTTGTGAACAGTGGACTAGTCTGTTTGAGGAAAAGATGGGTAATGAGCATTTTGTTCTTATGTAGTTGGGGTCACCGTTGTTCGTCCTCCCTCAGTATTCTGTCTACCTTACCTCCCCTCCGAAAGCAGAGGACAGAAGTAAGGGGGACCAGTGGAAGCTCACTCCTCTCCTTCTCTCTGCCCAGGCTTTGGTGCTGGACTTTGCCCGGTGAGGGCTGGGGATAGGTTGAGCAGCATCCGTCCGTGCCCCTCACCTCTTTCTGAGGAAGGCATCTGAGGTTCTTGCCGAGAGATGGAGTGGCGATGGATTGCTTCTTAGAAGGGCAAATTTAAACAAACAAGCAAACAAACAAAAAAGGGCAAATTTTAGGTACACCGGTTGACTTTTAAATTTCATTTTTATAGTTTAATGGAATGGCAGTTTTTTAGAAGCTGTTATTGATATTTTGGTTCATATGCAATTGATATCCTAAAATTTGAAACGGACTGTACCATTTCTTGATTCTGGTAATAATACTCTAAGCTTGAGGCGAGGAATAATTCTTTTGTTAGTGTCATCAGTGATGAAGACTACCATCTTAATGCTAGTTTTGTGAATAGGTGGAAACTTTTTACGTGGTGTTTTCTCTAAACTGACCATTTTAATCCCTGCAGAATTTATTTCATGTTGCAGCGCAGTAAACATACAAGTCTTTCTCTCATTTTCTGTTCTAAACGCAGATAGAACTCATTGACCGAGTGGATGACATCTATCGGAACACTTCATGGGACAACGCGGGTTTTAAAGGTTATGGAATACAGATAGAGCAGGTATTTACCAATGGATGTGGCTGTGGCTGTATAACTCCGCTGAGTGATGTGATGCAAATATGTGTCACTTGTATTCAGAACCTAAAAACCTATCTTCAACTCTAATCTTACAAATTTTCAAATGCCAGTGATTTTCATCTGATTTGTATAGTGTTTTTGAATTATTTACAGATTGTGAAGTTTTTTGTTCTTAGGCTCGTTGAGGCAGCTGTGATCTCTTCTTCTTTTTTTTTTTTTTTTTAGATTATTTATTTATTTATTTGACAGAGAGAGAGAGAGAGAGAGATCACAAGTAGGTAGAGGGGCAGGCAGAGAGAGAGAGAGAGGGAAGCAGGCTCCCTGCTGAGCAGAGAGCCTGATGCGGGGCTCGATCCCAGGACACTGAGACCATGGTCCGAGCCAAAGGCAGATGCCCAACCCACTGAGCCATCTAGGTGCCCGTGCTGTGATCTCTTCTTTCTCTGAATTTATGTTTTTATCCCCCTTCACTGTTTTACTTTTTTGATTATGCTTTATGTCTTCAGTTAGAATGTTGGCACATACTGTTGAATCCTTAGAAATTTACTCAGAAATACTGTGTATACATTTGCAAGGAATTTATGCATATAGAACCAGTAGGTCTCTTTTCCTCAGAATTTTCTGGTTTCTTCTAATCTGTGAATAGAGCGCATCCAGTAATGGTATATTGATGTCATTTTAATTATATCTCATAGTAAACATTGTTCAAAAATTATAAGACTAATTAAAAAAAATTCTGAAGTTGGGTATTGCTTTGGACAGATATTTAATATACAAATTATTATCTCTTGTTTTTTCTAGGCTCTTTGTGCTAAATTAACCATGTTCTTAAAGGTTCTGTAGTATAGAACTTAGAGATTAAGAAACAAAATTTTTGAAATCATGCATATTATATAAATGTTAAACTTTTATAGTACTTGTATAAAACTAAGAGAATTATTTTTCCCTTTTCCATTCTCTTTTACTGTTTTGCATTTTCTTTTAAGTTATTATTTGACTAGGTAATATATACACATGGTACAAAAGCCAGTGAAAAGTAAGTCTCTTCAACCTCTACTATTGTCAAACCAGTCCCTTTCCCCAGAGACATCCATGTCACAGTCTCCTAAGTACCGTCCCGGAGAGATTTGGTGCATGTGTAGCATGTGGATGTGTATGTGTATATTTGACACATGGTGGTGTGCTCTACTCTTTGCACCTTGCTTTTTCATTTTGTGTCTATGTTGATGGTTGTTCCATTGTGGTACATAGAAAGCTGCCTCACTTGTCTAAAACAGCAGAATCATGTTCAGGTTTTAGGAGACCAATAAATAAAACTCCGTTTTGCCATAAGAAGTTGGAGCCACTTGGAAAAATGGCGCAGTGTAGATTTGAAATGCCAGCTTTGTAATAATGATAATAGGAGGATTGGAGAGTATGATTTAGATGTGCAATCACAGTGGGTTTCCATCTGTTTCATCCCAGAATTGGTCTTGACCACCCACCACCAAAGCTGCAAAGCCCTTCCCTGTGAGCTTGCCACATGGTGGCGGAGTGGACCAGATTATACGCCCTCCAGGCAGGCACATCCAGAAGAGAGGCCAGAAATGGCTAAGCGGAGATGGCTTTGTTCTTTTCCTTAAACACACTCACTGGTCGATACGTTTCATCTCCTTTGGAGGAAAGCCTTTGTTCCTTTTTTTATTAAAGCAGGATTAACATGAATTTTTTACTTTATGTCCAAGGAAAAGCCCCTGTTCTTTATCATCTTTTATTTCCGTGGGGTGCAGTGACAGACATTTAGTTCTTTGTCTCTGAATCATTGACTGTGGTTGGAGTAAATATTTTAGGCTTAGCAACCCAGGTTCTCATTTTATCAAACTAAATGTAGAAGAAATAAGAGTTGAGGAATACATTTATAAATTGATAAGTAATATAATAATAAATAATAAGCCATTGACATACATGTTTACCATATCATACCAAGCATATCATAAGCTTCTCAGTTTTTTTTTAAATGAATATTAGAGCTGGAATTGTAGTTTTAAAATATTTTTTCTAGAATGGTGGATGATCTTATTTTGCATAGCTAAAACAGTGCAGTATTGTTCAGTCTTGTGACTTTTTTCTGAAGTGTTCTAAGTATATTGTCTCTTTAAGTATAGATCCGCATTCTCAAGTCTCCACAAGAGGTGAAACCCGGTGAAAGGCACTATAACATGGCAAAAAGTTACCCAAATGAAGAAAAGGATGCTTGGGATGTGAAGATGTTGCTAGAGGTAGGTGGTGGAGTCCCAGATGTGGTGCTGCTGTTAGCTCGCTTGGTGGTTTCTCTAGCACATGGGGCGTGTCTGCATCAATGAAGGGGCGCACTGAGAAAGGTCACTGAGAACCAGAAGCAGCGCATCCCAGTAACCCAGCAGTGACCCTTTAGTGGGGCCAACAGCAAGACGGGCCAAAAGGTTGTCAAAATGAAAAATGCTAGAAGGCGGTTCTTCTTGACCTTAATATCTTCAAGAATCCAGTTGAAGTATTGAGACTTTAGAAAATGTATACTCAATATAAACATTTTTTGCACACCATTCTGTTCAGGTTTCTTTGAAACTTATCAGTAGATCTGCTAGGTCAGTAATTGTCAAACAGTATGAAGATGTGAAAGTTTTCTTGAAGATGTGAAAGTTTTCTACAGGATTTAAAAATCTTCGTGACTATATTCTAGTTAGAAATCTGAAGATAGCCTAAACGTTCTGTGCCTTATGAGTCTTGCCTTGACAGGTATGATTGATCCTTTTTGCCACATATTTCAGCGTCTTGAGTTTGTGTATGCAATTGCTTTGTCATAGAATTGCCTTCCAGGAAGTGATAGTGATCTTCTGATATGTTCGTGCGTATGTTGGTTTCCTCTGGCTGCTCTAACAAGTTACCGCAGACTCGCAGCTCATAACAACGCGACTTACCCAAGTTGTCTCTGTGGGTTAGTCCGCGTACAGTGTGGCTTATGTCTCACAAGGCAGAAATTAAGTTTTCAGAGCTTGGAGTTAAAGGATATTGCCAGCTTTTCATCCAGGTCGAGATGCGCAGGGTGCTGCCTGTGTTGCCTACTCTCCGTGTCTTCTGGGCTGTGACCCGCTGCCCAGCCAGGTCACTTCTCGAGAGGCTCGGCAAGGGGAGCGGTCGTCAGGACTGCTGGTAACGAAACGCTGCACACTGGCAGCTTAAAGAACGGAAGTTTATTTCTCACGGTTCTGGAGGTTGGAAAACCAGAGCAAACTTAAAACGAACCAAAACCCTGGGCACCTGGCTGGCTCAGTCGGAGGAACACGCGAGTCTTGATCTTCGGGTTGTGGTATCGATCCCCATGTTGGGTGTAGAGATTACTGAAAATAAAAAACAAAAACAAAACCACCACGTACAAAACCAGTGGAGTCCTTGAAATACTTAAGGGGGTTCTGTTTGGTATTCGGTGCTGACATCCCGTGGACAGAGTATCCAGGCTCTGAGACTTACGGAATTGGAATGTCTCCAGGGCTGGGCTGCACGGCTTCACACCAGCCCTCTTGGTTTTGAGCTGCTCTAAAAAGCCCCCAAGTTCTTCCCTGTCCTGTCCCCCACCCGGACTAGATGGTACTCCTCTTCTTTCCTGTATCGGTGGCTGAAAATTGTACGCAAGCGTTGTGCGGCGGGTGTGTGTTCTGATGGAGGGCTGCAGTCAGTCACACGGCAGTGTTCTCCAGGGTCTGGTAGAAACATGTCTGATGTAATTGTTAATCTAATTAAGAATACTTTTTTTCTTAAAGCAATTTAGTTTTGATATAGCCGAAGAAGCATCTAAGGTCTGCCTTGCACATCTTTTCACCTACCAAGATTTTGATATGGGAACCCTTGGGTTAGCTTATGTCGGTTCTCCCAGAGCCAACAGCCACGGAGGTGTTTGCCCAAAGGGTAAGTTTTCCGTTTGTTTTGCAGATGTGTGAGAATGGCAGGCTGATTAGATTATATTGTTATTCTGTGTTCGATAAGCAATTTGTCTCTGTTTCCTTTGTCCTCTAGCTTATTATAGTCCAATTGGAAAGAAGAATATCTATTTGAATAGTGGCTTGACCAGCACAAAAAATTATGGTAAAACCATCCTTACAAAGGTATGTTCTCTTATTTTTTAAAAGGATAGATTTTGAGTTTGTTTTAGTAGAGCCTTAGCTGTATATATTTATGTAGGTATCTTTTTAAAAAGTGGTATATACTTCCCTTCGCTTCTGCTTAAAAAAATACATGTGTTTTGGTGGGAAATGTGAAAATAAAAAATATAAAGAAAAAGATAAAAAGCTACCTGTGAGATTTCTTTTGAGACTGGTCAGCGTCCTTGTTTTTCCTGAAGTCACCCCTCCTGGAGCCCTTCATCCTGTGCTTTTCTGCGGGCTGCTCGGTTCCCAGTCCTGCAGTGTAGCTGTCGTTAAAAGACTTCCCAGACTCTCTCGTTTCCTGGACCTCATGTTCTTTCTTTTTCTTTTTTTTTTTTTTCTTAAGATTTTATTTATTTATTTGAGAGATTGAGAGGGAGATAGCGCAAAGACGGGGTGGGAGAGAAGAGGGTCAGAGGGAGAAGCAGACTCCCCACCAAGCCTGACGCGGGGCTTGATGCTGGGACTCCTGGACCGTGACCTGGGCTGAAGGCAGATGCTTCACTGAATGAGCCACCCATGAGCCCCTGCTCATGCTCTTTCTTGATTTATACTGTCATTTTGGTATGGCATATCTTCCAGGAGTTTCCTAAGAAAAGGGTACATGAGAGGCAAATTGAGATTTTTACATATCTGAAATGTCTTTACCCTACACTTAAATTTGATTGATAATTAAATTTTTTCAGCATTTGCAGGCATTGTTCCATTATTGTCTTCTAGTGTTTTGTGTCACCCTTAGAATCTGAAATCATTCTGATTTTTTTATCCTTTGTATGTGACCCGTTTTTTCCTTTAGAAGATTTTAGGATCTTGTTTTTGCCCAGATACATCCATTAGGAATGTGTTAGGCACATTCCAGCAAATCCATAAACTGAAAATCCAACAAACAGTGACTTCTAAGAGGTGTATTTGCTTCAGTCAACCACAGGGTCAGGGACAGCGTCCTGTGGATGCTGAAGCAGCTTAGTGATGCTCCCTCGGGGAACCAGGATCTTCCCAGTTTTCACTCAGCCCCTCTGAGCACAGGCCTTGGTCCTCATGCGTATCCTCTGCTCACAAGATGGTTCTCTTCTGTGTTGCAAAAAGGAGGACAGAGCCTCGTCTGTCCCTTGTAAAAGAAAAAAAACTCTGGAAGTCCCACCCCCTCTGTTTCTATCTCACTGGACAGCCTGACCTACCTTCAAAGAAATACGGGAAGAGGCTATTTTAAGAGTACACTGCCAACCTGAGCAGAATTAGGATTTTTTAAGGAAGGAAGAAGGGGAGAATGGGCATTGATGGGAAGTACTAGTTTTTGACACACTGGTAGTTTGGCTCCAACGTTATACGTGCTGTAGGTTTTTTATCCCACTGTGTTGGGCCCTTCAGTCTGGACACACCGAACTGCCACAGTCCTGCTGCTGTTCTGTTGTTGATCTCGTTCATCAGGACCCCATTTAAGAAAAGCAGGGCCTCGCTGGCCACAGTAGCTGACGGTTGGATATTAAGTCATAGCGTTTTCTTTGCATGATCATTTAAGGAAGCCGACCTGGTAACAACTCATGAATTGGGACACAATTTCGGAGCAGAGCATGATCCGGATGGCCTAGCAGAATGTGCCCCAAATGAGGACCAGGGAGGAAAATACGTTATGTATCCCATCGCCGTGAGTGGAGATCATGAGAACAATAAGGTATGTATCTTCTGGAGCTTTTTTGGGTAAGGAAGGAAAGAGACTATTATGTTTAATTATAATGAGAGCTCAGAAGAGCCTTCCATTCCAGGTCTGGAACTGTGAATTACAAAGTACCCTCAAACTTGGTTGTGTGTTTTAGAGTGAGGTGTGGTGCATCGAATCTGGTTTATGTTATCATTTGGACTGTTAAAGTTAATTGTGTTGATGGGGACTATATGGAAAATTAGTGATAGTAATGGCTCATGTTAGAGGTTTAGATGACAGGGTCTGGTGTAAGTTAAAAGTTTCATGTCACCTCTCTCTCTCTTTTTTTTAAGATTTTATTTATTTGACAGAGCGAGAAAGCACAAGCAGAGGGAGCACCATGGGTAGACGGAGAAATAGGCTCCCTGCTCAGCAGGGAGCCTGATGTGGGGACTCAGTCCCCAGACCCCAGGATCATGACCTGAGCCAGAGGCAGACACTCAATCAACTGAGCCATCCAGGCTCCCCAGAAATTTCATGTCATTTCTTATACAAGCTGTTCCTTTTAACTCTACTTAATTTGCATGTTTTCATCAACTTTTGCAATAAAATACATAATTTGCCAGATTATAAACCCCTGTGGGAAAGGCCCATGCCTTTCCCTAGAGAGCTCTGTCTCTAGTGCCTAGCAGGGGTCCCTGGCATGTAGTAATTGGTTGAATAAATAAATGAAGTTTACTGCCAGGGGTTTCTGAGAGTACACTAATCCCATGGGAGAAAGTAAGCCTGGCTACGACGGACTCTGCAAGTGTTCACAGGTGTCTGTTTTGTGCATTTCACTTAAGTGGCAAAAAGCATCAGGAGGAGAACACACTGGTGGTGGTGCCGAGTTAGAGAGGGCTGGCTCTAACTGGGAAAGATGATGAAGTATTTCTCCTGGTTCCTTTTTGGAGCCAGGCCCTGGCTTTAATTTAAAGCCTGGCAGGGAGCTAGAGGAAGGGATTATTTTTGTGTTTCCCTGGCCCTGACCCTGCTTTTGGAAGTTTCTTTCTTTTATTCTTTTTGTCATCTTTTTCCTTGGCTCTTAAGTATAAACGCTCTCTTCCTCTCTTGGTTTGCACCTTAAGCTTTATATTTCCTCTGCTTGACAGCTTGTGCCCCAGGAGCTCTGCCCTCCCTGTTGCACTATTCCTCCGACTTGCCACATCCTCTGTTTCTCAGATTTGTCTCTGCATTTTATTTTTTTTAAATGATTGATTTATTTTTTTAATTTTAATTTTTAAAAAAGATTTTATTTATTTATCAGAGAGAGTGAGCACAAGGTGGGGGAACAGCAGTCAGAGCAGGCAGAGGGAGAAGCAGGCTTCCCGCTGAGCAAGGAGCCCAATGCGGGACTCAGTCCTAGGACCCTGGGATTATGACCTAAGCTGAAGGCAGCTGCTTAACCAACTGAGCCACCAAGGCATCCCTGATTTACTTATTTTTAAAGAGAGAATGTGTGCTTGAGGGGGACGAGGGACAGAGGCAGAGAGCAAGAATCTCAAGCAGACTCCCTGTGGAGCCCAGCACAGGGCCCCATCTCACCACCCTGAGATCACAACCTGAGCCAAAGCAAGACAAGAGATACTTAACTGACTGAGCCAGTCAGCCGCCCTCTCTGCATTTCTAATCGTGTATATTGTAGCTTAGCGCTATTCAGTAGAAGGTTCTGGGATGACGGAAACATTCTGTGTTAATACAGCAGCACTAGCCATAGGTGCCTGTTGAGCACTCCAGATGTGACCAGAGAGACCAAGTAACTGAATTTTAAATTCTGTTTATTTTATTTTATTATTCTTTCTAAATTCTGTTTTATTTAAATTCAATAGTGATTGCCTAGGGCTGGAGCTGGGAATGGGAATTAACTGTAAAAGGACATGAGGGACCTTCCGGGGACAAGAACATGTCCACAAGCTGATTTGTGGTGATGGCTGCCCTACTTGGTAAAGTTATTGGAAATCCCTGACTTGGACACTTGAAATGGGTAAATTTTGTGATATATAAAATATGCCTTAAATAAAGCTATTAAGAAACAAACAATAATAACAACCCAGCGTGAGGGGAGATGGTGAGGGCGCAGAGGAGGGGGAAGCCATAATGTGATGGTTGTGGAAGCTGGGGAGGGGCATGTGGGCATTCACGATACCATCGTGTCTACTTTGCAGCTGTGTGAACATTTCTATAATAAAAAGTCAAGTATGTGGTGAGGAGGAAGAAATTGAAATAGCCACATTTGGCTCCTGGCTGTAGTTTAGACGGTACACTCTCTGGTCAATTGCTTCTTTGTTATTGAGGATGGTTTGAGTACTTTGGGGGAAATTGTCTTACTTTGTAGACTTGTCCTCTACAAGTTCTCCTTGTGAAATTTCCCTGTGAGCTCTTCCATGGCCTTGTAATGACTTCTAAGGAGAATAGTGCCTGACTAGAGCCTTTTTTTTTTTTTTTTTAATTTAGGGAAGTGGGGGCACCAGGGTGGCTCAGTCAGTTAAGCATCTGCTTTTGGCTCAGGTCATGATCCCCTGGAGTCCTGGGACTGAGCCCCATATTGGGCTCCCTGCTCAGTGAAGATTCTGCTTCTCTCTCTGCCCCTCCCCTGCTTATGCTCTCTCTCTAACTCACTCTCTCAAACAGATAAATAAAATCTTTAAAAAAAATTCAAGAAGCGCTAGTCATCCACATTGGGCATAGAGCTTTTTTTAAAAAAAACACACACACACACAAAAAAAAAACCAAAAAAACACGGGCAACTCTCTGGGCACCTGGCTGGTTTGGTCAGTAGAGCACATGACTCTTGATCTCAGGGTTGTGAGTCCAAGCCCCATGTTGGATGGGGAGCTAAGCTAAATGAAAAGTGAGGGACAAGAAAAGGAGGTGCTAGTTTATCAAATAAGAACAATTTGTCCATTTATTTATTTTGTCCTAAGCAGTTCAGGTTTAGTGTATTTTCTGTTAGTTTGGTTTTCCCAAGTAGTGATCCTGTAATAAAAAGATACTGGGTGGGACGCCTGGGTGGCTCAGTGGGTTAGAGCCTCTGCCTTCGGCTCAGGTCATGTTCCCAGGGTCCTGGGATGGAGCCCCGCATAGGGTTCTCTGCTCAGCAGGGAGCCTACTTCCCCCCACCACATCCTGCCTGCCTCTCTGTCTACTTGTGATCTCTGTCAAATAAATAAATAAAATCTTTAAAAAAAAAAGAAGATTTAAAAAAAAAGGAAAAAAGATACTGGGCGTCTTCTAATCTACATTTTCAATGAATTTCTTAATAAAAATGTTTGTAACTAGGTAAGAAGCGCTCCCGTTTCCTTGACCTCAAAAGACAGGGCCTGGCACCTCCCACAGGCAAGCTGCTGAGGCCTCAGGCCTCACTGTGCTCATGTGGCACAAGGGGGGTGAGTTCGTAGGAGGGTTTGTTGGCGCAAGAGGAGAGGGTGTGGGAAGGGTGCAAACAGAAGGCCAGAGGTCTTCAGGAAGCATAAAAATTGTTCTCTTAGCTCTTAGCCCAAGGACCCCGGCCCTCGGAGTGTAGCTGTGGCAGGTTAGCGAGGAGGCTGCTTACTGCTTCAGTGTGAATTTTAATTTCCTAGCATCTGGTCTCACATGAGTGCACTGCTAAAACTGAGTTCACAAATCTGCAGTGCTTGTGAGTAAACCCAGCAAATTCTAACTGCCCAAGGCCTAGACTGAAATAACCAGACCCCTTAAATATTTTCGCCTTAGAATAAATAGGAAGACCTTTAAAAAACAAAAATAACAAACCAAAGATCTGGTTAATATTTCTGTTTAGGGTGATAAGGTCTTGGATATCACTCTAAAAGTAATCCTTTCAGTATCTGATTCAGCGATCACTGTTCCCTTAGGAGGGTCCTGTGCCCTCCGCTCCTCAGGGGCTCCGTGGCTGTCATCTGGGGCAAAAGGGAAGCCATTTTAGCAACTGTGCAGTAGTTGTGGAGATGCTGCCTCGAGGAATCACTGCCCAGGTTTTCCTTCAGCCTCTTACTCCCTTTCTTGCTAATTGCAGATGATTTGGGAAATGGGCTCCATTTCAGAGCTCCTGGTAAAAAATCCCCAAATTTATAAGGAAGCCGTTTCCCGGGTTCTGTATTGCAAGTGGAGAAGTGTGAGGGTAGAGGCTTCCTGTGGGACATTGGTCACCTGTAGAAATCTCAAACCTAAAATCCTGGAGACCCATGTGATTGTTTAGGTAACAGTTTGGATTTTTATCCTTTAATAGACTGTATGTAATATCCTGCCTCTTACTATGCTCATCTGTTTAAAAACCTGAAACATGGGTCATTGGCACACACAGTCCGGGAAAAGGAGGTAGATCAGAGATAGACTCCGTTTTGCCTCTCTGAGTCGTCCTGTCCAGGAAGATGGCGGCGTGTGCCATACTCTCACGGTCACTGCCGCGGCGCTGGGTGCCAGCGGACAGTCTGAGGGCGGCCAGAGCGTCGGCCCTCTGGATGGGACTGGCCGGGACGCGTGCTCTCTGTCTTTGTACGGCCTGCCTGGGGAGAAGTTTGGCTCCTACCCAGACGCCCGCCAGCTTTTGTGCACCCAGCTGAGGGGGACAGCTCGATTCCACGTAGCCGGCTTTCTGAGGTGACAGGGGTGGAATTTGACAGACCTTTGAGGTGGCTCTGCTTGTGGCTCTTACAGTGAGAGTTTGTCTCTAGAGAAGAAACACAAACACTACTTGGGAATGACGTGGTATTATTTTGGTTCCTTTGTGGCCCTTCCTCTTGCAAGATGTTCTCAAACTGCAGTAAGCAGTCCATCTACAAGACCATCGAGAGTAAGTCCCAGGAGTGTTTTCAAGAGCGAAGCAACAAAGTGTGTGGGAACTCCAGGGTGGACGAAGGAGAGGAGTGCGACCCCGGCATCATGTACCTGAACAACGACACGTGCTGCAGTAGCGACTGCATGCTGAGGGCCGGCGTGCAGTGCAGGTGAGCGCGGGCAGTGGCGACCCGGGGTGGGGGGGGAGGCTCACGGGCGCGTGTGTGTCCTTTTCTCCTTAACAGCAAGGAAACTGCTTTCTGGGAAGCAGTGTGACTTTATGTCACAAAATCTCTAATCTTGTAGACTTTTTGATTCAGGATCCCATAGCTCAGAGAGTCTTTTAAGGAAACGAGAGAGGTGATTAAATGAGAATGTTCACAGCTGCATTCTTTTTTTTTTTTTTTTAAGATTTTATTTATTTGACAGAGACAGAGTGAGAGAGGGAACACAAGCAGGGGGAGCGGGAGAGGGAGAAGCAGGCTTCCCGCTGAGCAGGAAGCCCGATGCAGGGCTCGATCCCAGGACCCTGGGAACATGACCTGAGCCAAAGGCAGACACTTAACAACTGAGCCACCCAGGTGCCCTGCTGCATTATTTTAGAGTAACAAGATATTAGGCCCAGGCGGCAGTCCTGAGATCTAAATTGTTGTGTTTCTATGCAATAAAACCGTGTGGAAGACTATGTTCAGTGGCATACACTAAAGCAGAGGAAGCAGGTTACAAATGAGAAGGTACCTGTGTTTGCATGTTGCGGACTGGTGCCTGGCTTAGCATAGAGGAGGAAACCTCGAGTTGATGGTGAGTAGCAGATGTGAACGATGTGTGGTGCTTACTGTCAGCGGAAATCCTGATGGAACTCGGACTCCGGCTGCCTCGTTTCCTCCCCATTGCTGGCCTTGCAGGCATAGGTCTTCCTTTTCTTAAATTACTGTATCAAGTTAATGAAAACCAGGGACACCAAGATGTTCCAAGGATGAGTCCCCTCGGGCCTCTCTGCGCTCCTGCTTGAGGCCGCCGCAGGAAGGGCAGACAGCGTGTGCAGGCGGGCCGGCGCCCGGGAAGGCCGACTTTGCAGGATCGCGCGGCCCAGCCGAGGGGCCCAGCCGAGGGGCCTCCCCCGCCGTCTGCAGGCCCCGACGTGACCGCAGTGCCTGCTGTGGGGCTGACGTTTGACTGGAACTGTGCCTGTCTGCCTCTCTGCAGTGACCGGAACAGTCCTTGCTGTAAAAACTGTCAGTTTGAGGCTGCCCAGAAGAAGTGCCAAGAGGCGATCAATGCTACTTGCAAAGGCGTGTCTTACTGCACAGGTGAGTCCTTTTGCCGGTTCTCCTGGGATGCTTTTGCTCAGGTGCCCATGTGTATGCTTGAAACAACACTGTATTTTGTTCAGATGAAAACAGCCTTCGGAATCGTACTCCTTCGCTCGAGATGCACTTACCAGCGGTCAGCGCCAGACCCGTTGTGCTTGCTTTCTTATTTTGTCCACTTCATTGCCATCACCTCCTTCCTCTCACGGGCAGTGCTGTAATGCGTCTAATATTTGCCTGGGTGTGTGTATTTCCTTGGAAGATAATACCGTGTTAGTTTGTGTATATATGTGTTTTTAACATGCCAGGATGATACTCCGCTTTGGATCTTTTTTTAAACTCAGTGCCAGTTTTTATGAAGTATCCCTGTCATGCCGCCTGTGGAGTGTGTATCTGTGTCTGTTCATGGTCATTGTTCGGACCCCTGCTGAGTTTACTTGTGTGCTGTAGTGTATGGTACTCACCTGTTCACTAGTGACGGCTTGGACTGCCTTCATCTTGGGGGTACCGCAGATAGGAGTTCAACAGATGTCTCCCACCTGTCTCCCAGGTGTTGTAAGGGTTTCCTGGCTGCATGTGGAGGAGCAGAGTTGCTTGGTCATAGGAAGTGGCCCCGTGTTGATCTCTCTAGAACAGTCATGATGCACCTGTAGTGTGTGTGGATTCCTGCGTCCCAGTGTCCTCATCAGCCCTTGCTGTTACCCAGATGGTCTTCTGTTTTTTGCCAATCTGATGAGTATAAAGTGATCTCTCATCCATATTTGCATGTTTCTTGAAGGTACCTGTGTCTCCTTTTATCTGTTAGCTATGCAGAGTTTTCCTTTTGTCAATAGCCAGTTCATATATTTGGTTCTTTTTAAAATTTTTTTAAAGTATTCCTCGTGCCCCACCTGGGGCTTGAACTCACAACCCTGAGGTTAAGAGTTGCGTGTTCTGGGGCACTTAAGCGGTCCAGCTCTTGGTTTTGGCTCAGGTCACAGTCTCTGGGTTGTGGAATCAAGACCCACGTTGGGCTCTGTGCTCAGCAGGAATTCTGAGATTCTCTCCCTCTCCCTCTGCCCCTTTCCCTGATCACCTTTTGTGAGCTCTTGCTCTCTCTTTCTATTAAATAAACCTAAAAAGTCGCATGCTCTAATAACAGACATCAGGGTGCCCCTATATGGTTCATTTTTAAAAATTTGGGTTTCAGGGGCGCCTGGGTGGCTCAGTGGGTTGAGCCACTGCCTTCGGCTCAGGTCATGGTCTCAGGTTCCTGGGATCGAGTCCCGCATCGGGCTCTCTGCTCATCAGGGAGCCTGCTTCCCTCTCTCTCTCTCTGCCTGCCTCTCTGTCTAGTTGTGATCTCTGTCTGTCAAATAAATAAATAAATCTTTAAAAAAAAAATTGGGTTTCATGTCTTTTTGATATTGTTGACTTAGAGGAGTCATTGTATGATAATTTGATTGGTTTATAAGTTGCATATACCTTCCTCCTATCTGTTGTCCATCTCGGAACAGAAACTTTAATTTTTCTTTTTAAAAATTTTATTTTTATGTATTTGTCAGAGAGAACAAGTAGAGGGAGCAGCAGGCAGAGGGAGAAGCAGACTCCCCGCTGAGCAGAGAGCCCAATGTGGGGCTCCATCCCAGGACCCTGGGATCATGACCTGAGCCAAAGGCAGATGCTAAACCCGCTGAGTCCCCCAGGTGCCCTGTTCACCCATTTAAAGTGTACAGTTTGTGGTTTTTAAGGTGTTCGCATTTGTGCACCTGCCAGCAGTCAGTGTCAGAACGTTTCCATCACCTTAAAGAGAAACCTGTGTCCTGTAGCCATCACTGAATGTCCTCATTCCCCGCCAGCCCCAGAAAACCAGTGATCTTTTTATCTCTGTGTATTTGCCTGTTCTGGACATTTCATATAAACAGAATCCTACAGTACATGGCCCTTTGCAGCTGTCTTCTTTCATCCGGAATCAGGTTTTTGGGACGCCTTGTGTCATAGCATGAAGCCGTCGTCGTCTGTCCTCGTTGCTGAGGGATCGCCGTTGTGTTCGTCTGTGCCGCATTATGTTACATTCGTTCATCAGTTGATGCGCTTTGGGATTATTTCCGCTTTCTGACGATGACTAACACCGCTGTGGACATTTCTGTACAAGATTTTGTGTGGTTGCGTGTCTGTCGTTCCCCAGTCGAGACCCAGGAGCAGAGTCGCTGGGTCGGATGGTAGCCGTACCCTCGTTTGAGGAGCCTCGGGGCTGTCGCGCTAGCAGTGTGCGGTGTCACGTTCCCGCCCGTGGCATCGGAGGCTTCCTGTGCGTCCACGGCCTCAGCTCCACTGGTTACCTTTTTGGTTCTCACCTTCCTAGCGAAGCTCTGTGTCAGTTTGGTTTTTCCTTTTCCTTTCCTTTTTTTTTTTTTTAAGATTTTATTTATTTGATAGATAGGGAACACAAGCAGGGGCAGTGGGAGAGGGAGAAGCAGGCTTCCCATTGAGTGGGGAGCCGGATGCGGGGCTCGATCCTAGAACCCCGGGATCATGACCCGAGCCGAAGGCAGATGCTTAACAACTGAGCCACCCAGGCGCCCCTCCTTTGCCTTTTCAACGTGCATTTTATAAGCGCCACTCGTGCCTCCTACGTTGAGACCTGTTAGCACGGCTGCAGTTTGCCAGTTGTCAGGAGCTGGAACGGCTCAGGCAAGCTTCTCACGAACATTCTCTAGCTGTGCTCAGTATGTCAGCCTTGGTTTTAGTAATAAAGCAGATTCAGAAAAATTCTTTTTAAATAAGCATTATCAAAGCAATTTGGAAAAAATTTATTCGTTCTTATCGAATAGCCTTTCTTTCCCTCGCTATTTTCTATGAAGGAGCAGCTAGCAAAATATTAACTCCTTATAAAGACCCTGCGTTGACCACCAGCAGCATCCGCATCTCCTGGGACCTTGCTCGAAGTGGACGTTGTTGGTCCCTCTGCCGCATTCCCCCAGGCCCAGGGCCCCAGCGGCTCTGAGGACAGGTGCAGTGACCTGTGCCACCTACTCCGTTTACCCGTGGGGTCCGATGCACCCAGAGTCTCGGGAGCCTGGAGACTAGGTGGCTCTGTGTGTTTAATGCTTGTCCTCTGCATCTGGTGCCCTGACGTTAGTCTGCTGAGAACACGTGTGCAGCGGATACTTGTGGGACATTTTGCACGTGTGTGTTCAGGGCAGCAGCACGCACTGAAAATACCGGGGAGTGCGGTCTCCCCGTCACTGACATGCTACCCTGTCCCCATGGCCTCCTTTCAGCAGCCGCACACTTGTTCCGTGCCCATCCTATTGACCCTGAGTGCCCAGCAGCATAAACGGTTTCGTCAGACCAGAGGCACAGGTGACGTGCCCGCGTCAGTGTGTATCAGGTACTTGGTGGAGGGCTTCTTTTGTTTGAGACAGGTTTCTCTGAGTTTCCCAAGCCACTCCACTGACTTGCAAGTCCTGAGTTCTTTCGGACTCCGGGCTTTGGTCCCATTTGTCAGGGGAAGGGCCAGGCCTCCGGCTCTCGCCACCGTCCGCATGTGGTAGTTCTCTTCTTGCGGTCATGTTTAACTGCGTGTGCTGCTCGCTTTCCAGAAAGAGCCCCTCACTCCATCCTCTCACTTGAATTTAACATCCTTCTGTGGCTTTTCTTTTGTCCGGCAGAATCATTGATTCATTTAAGAAATACCTCTGGGGTACTTAGGCGTGTGATAGAGATCCGACGTAAGTTGATTTATTCCTAGTTTTGATCTTTGCTCTCGTGGAGCTCACCAGTCTGAACCGAAACCACATCCTCACATAGACATAAATTGGGGGCGCCTGGGTGGCTCAGTCAGTTGAGTGCCTGACTCTTGATTTCAGCTCAGGTCGTTTTATTTCTTTATTTGACAGAGAGAGAGCGAGCGAGCACACAAGCAGAGGCAGCGGGAGAGGGAGAAGCAGGCTCCCTGCTGAGCAAGGAGCCCAGTGCGGGGCTCGATCTCAGGACTCTGGGACCATGACCTGAGCTGAAGGCGGACGCTTAGCCGACTGAACCACCCTGGTGTGCCCTTTATTTAGCTCAGGTCTTGATCTCAGGGTCATGGGTTCAAGCCCTACTTTGGGTTCCCCACTGGGTGTGGAGCCTACTTTAAAAAAAAAGCCATAAGTTGCAAAATGTGCGCTTGAAGGAGAGAAGCAGCTGTAGGGATGGAAGCAGTGGGGGAATGTAGGGCCGCGGGAGGTCTGAGGGAGGTCTTGGAGCCAGAGCTAAGGGTGAGAAAAAGCCAGCCAGTGCCCTCCAGGGCAGAAACGAGAACATTCCGGGTAGACTGAACAGCGTATGTTATGGTTCCGAGGGAGAGACCCTGGAGAGGGGAAGACACTGGACGCCGGCTGAGGGCTCAGGAGTGGCCGCTGGTGAGGTTGGAGGAGCCCGGCCGGCCGCTGCCGTGAGCCTCCCGCAGAGCTTGCTTCTCAGGCCGGTGGCGGCCGCGACGTTTGCTCCGTGGTGCGTCTGTGCTCCTGTGTGTGTGTCCTGTTATCTGTAGTTACGTTTCACAAAAGAAAGGTAAAAGCAAGATGTTAAATAGTGGCTGAGGGGCGGGGTGGGAGTGTGGGGATGTGCACCGCATGGGGCTAGGCGCGCAGCCAGGCACTCTTGGCTCGTGGCCTGCTGGGCCCGGGCCGCTGGCGTCCTGACCCTGGGCCACTTTGTGCCCTTGTGAAGCTCGGTGCCAACTTCTGTGGGCACCTGAGGCCTGCTTCTGCCGCGTGACTCACGGCGACCTGTGTGCTTCCCGCGTGCTTGCAGGTAACAGCAGTGAGTGCCCCCCGCCCGGCAACGCCGCGGACGACACGGTGTGCTTGGATCTCGGCAAGTGTAAAGATGGGAAGTGCGTCCCCTTCTGCGAGCGGGAGCAGCAGCGGGAGTCCTGCGCGTGTAACGGTGAGCACACGTCCGTGCCGCGTCCTTGCAGCCGGAGGGGAGCCAGTCATGCCTGCTGGGCCCGTCCCTCCCTCCGGGGGCCCGGCAGTCCCTGCTGGGCTGGGGTGGTGGTGAGATCCCAGCCGGGGGCGGGGCAGGGCAGCGGGGTCTGGGGGCGCCCTCCAGCTCCGCATCCGGTCCGCTGACTTGTCCGTGAAAGCCTGCCTGTCGGTCGTCCTTCCTCTCCACGTTCAGACCAAGTGGCAGGCTTAGGGGCGGGAGAGGAGGAAGCGGTGCGGGTGGGCGGGTGGGTGGAGGAGTGTCCTCGCTGCGCCCCGCCGCCACGTGGTACCCCGCGTGAGCACGGCAGGAGTCCGCTGCGGCCACCGGCCGGGGACTCCTGCTCCTCAGGACCTCAGCCAGAGGGAGCTGGCCCCAGGGTCTGACCCTGCCCGTTAGGGTGTTTGCTCTCGTCACCAGGGCTGAGCCTGCTGCCTTCTGCTCCCTGCCTGATGTCTGGGGCAGGGGCCTCGCTTAGCGATGGTTGGCGACATCACGCTGGCTTCTCAGACGCTTGTCCTCAGGTTTCCACCTTCTATTTTTGGGACTCCCGAGTCTGAGAAGGGACCGACTGGGCTCCCGGCTTCCTGCCCTGCCTCACCTCAGGAGGCTTCTGTTGCTTTCAAAACCATGCAGAAGTCGGAGCCAGTGGGTTGGGAACCCCCAGGCGCACGGTGCAGGGAGCGGCACTTCTGGGGTAGCAGCAGTAAATACGGGAGACGACACACGGTAGATCCCAAGCCGGTCATTTCCCGAGGGAGCGGCAGGGGGCCTGGGATGCCTGGAGAGACCCACAGTAAGCGCCCAGGAAATGCTTGACCACTGGACGAATGATGGAAAGGTCTCCTTTCCCATTCGAGCGCTTTTGCTGGGTTTTGTGTTCTGGTTGATTCCAGGTTCTCCCACGTAAGTGACCAGGGATTCCTCTGGGTCACATACTGTCCCGAGTTGCATTGTCCGTTGACATTTTGGCCATTTCTGTTGTCGGTGTGTGTGCCACGTGGCCTATGTGGTGCCTAGTTGGTTCCGTGACCCACATGCTGTGGGCGGTAGGTGTAGACGGAGGTTCAGCCCCTGCGCTCACGTCACCCCGCGGCTCCCTGCGGCCCGCACCCGGCTGTTGTGTCGCAGCGGTACTGGCTCTCGCTGGAGCCTCGGTTCTCCCGGGGAGCATTTGAAACGGCGATACCAAGGGTTGAAGTCGGCGGTGTAACAAGAATGTTGGGATGAAGAGAAACGTTGAGAATCATAAGGGATCTGAAGGAGACTCATTCGGCTTTTACTCCGTTAAGGGAGGCTCTTTGGTGTCAATTGTCCTTGTCTTGTGGCCTGAGGACTGAGGAGCCTGAACTCAGAATTTAGTCTTGGGGGGTGCACGAAGGCTCGTTCGCTGTTGAAAAATAAAGGCATTTCCTTCCCCGTGGGGAGCGGGGTGGGGAGGAGAGGAGGGAAGGAGGAACGAGGCTGCAGTCCGGCTGTCCATATGCTCCCCGGTTCTGTTCCAGAAACTGACAACTCCTGCAAGGTGTGCTGCAGGGACCCCTCGGGCCGGTGTGTGCCCTACGTTGACGCTGAACAGAAGAATTTATTCTTGAGGAAAGGGAAGCCCTGTACGGTGGGCTTCTGTGACATGAATGTGAGTATTTACTTCCATACAGCTTTTTCTGTGACAGCCAGACGGGCAGTTTTGATACTATGAGGACTTGATTTTGCCAGGGGCGAGAGTCCTGCCGTGCCCTTGTCACCCACTGGCTGCTCTCGTCTGTCTGGGGCAGGCTGTGGGCATGACGCGAGGGGAGGTGCCAGGTGCTCTCGGGGAGCTGGAGCACGCTCTGTCCCGAGCAGGGGACCCTGAATCCAGTGACTGCGGGGGAGGGAGCTTTTCTATTAGAGTCGGCTCGTTTTAGGCAGTGTGTGTTAATGACTTGGTTTTCTAGATTAATTATAAAATTGACTAAGATTGTGAAATTGCAAGTTTTGATTTAAAACCAGTGCTGATAGAGGAAAGACCCAGAGGTGGCTCGACGCACCTGCATCAGGCCCTCTTACCCTCCAGTGAAACACATTTCATTCCCATGGAGTCACAGGCGTGGATTTAAAGGGGTTAGGCCGGCTTCCCAGGCAGTCTGATTAGGTTCCTCCTGGTGTGTGTGCGCGCACGCGCATGTGTGTGGTCCGTGCAGCCCTTGCTAGAGGGCCCTGTCTTAAACAAAATTGGTTTTCTCAAGTTTCGTTTCCTGGGAATTCTAAATTCACTTATAAAAATGGGCTGATTGTGGAAGTGGAAGTGAAAAGTGTCTCCTGCTGCGTTAGGTCCCTGTGTCCAAAACTGGGCCCCTGCAGCTGTGATTTCCTGAAGCCTTTCATGTCCGTCCCTTGTACCCAGCCGTGCCGCTCCTGACGCAGTCCTTTTTGGGCACTGCTGTGTTCTGTGTTCACAGGGCAAGTGTGAGAAGCGAGTACAGGACGTCATCGAGCGGTTTTGGGACTTCATCGACCAGCTGAGCATCAATACTTTTGGTAGGTGATTTCCCCAGTGGCTCTTTGCTTGGAAGTGAGCAGAGTTTGGTGATGACATGAGGAAAGTGTGCTTTTGGGTTACTACGTCGGATCCTGAAGCAGATGGAAATATTCACGGTGTTCCTGACGCAGCTTTGTCAGCTGAGATGAAGCACACACCCGGCTCTCCCGCTGTGTCGTGCGGATGCGCAGGTTTTCAGACAAGGGAAGCCCACACGTTGTCGAAATTCTGGTATCTTTAAGAAGTAGACACTGGAACCGTAAGCCTGGTTCAGTCCTGCAGGTTGTAAATCTGAATCCGGTTTCATGTGAGCCTCAGGTCAGACAAAAAGTGGGCCTCGGGTTTTGCAGAAGCAGCAACGTATTCTGTCTTGCAGGGTCGGAATTCATTGTCAGAAAAATAGTACCCGATGACAGTGACTTTGTCCTGTCACGCATCGTCGCGAGCAGTAGCCTTCTGTGTGCTTGGTTCCTGACACCGTCACTCAGGGATCGTGTTGAGCACTGTGTGATGCGGTCTGTCCTGCATGAGGGTCTCAGGGCTCTGTCTGGAGGAGTGTCCACAGCTCGGGGGATGGTGCGGGCTGGCACAGGGGACACAGACGCCTCTTGGGCTGCCTCGGTAGGACTACCTGGCCGGCAGTCTGTCTCATTTGACACCATGGTAATAAGAGCGTTTAATTTTGTGTCTAAAGTACTTGATCAGAACACTGACTGTTTGGAATTGTTCACAGGGAAGTTTTTAGCGGACAACATCGTAGGTTCCGTCCTGGTTTTCTCCTTGATATTTTGGATCCCCTTCAGCATTCTTGTCCATTGCGTGGTAAGTCACCAACTTGTAGGTAATGAGACATTTTATTAGAATTTTGAGCAATTGCAATCTTACAACTTTTGGAAAAGATAAAATTGGTTCTTAGCAAGATCTGACCTGATGTTTCCAGTGACATTTTTTGGTGTTATTCCCTGGGAAAGCTTATTTTGTGAGAAGTTTAGCTAATCGTTTTTTTTTTTAATTATTTTAAAGACTTTATTCACTTATTTGACAGAGATCACAGTAGGCAGAGAGGTAGGCAGAGAGAGAGAGAGGAGGAAGCAGGCTCCCCGCCGAGCAGAGAGCCCGATGTGGGGCCCGACCCCAGAACGCTGAGACCACGACCTAGAGCCGAACGCAGAGGCCTAACCCACTGAGCCACCCAGGTGCCCCTAGCTAATCGTTTTTTAAAAAGAAGTATGCTTTTTGTATGTGGATATATGTTCTCGTGTGTAATTGGAGGAATGTTACACTTCTGAGCCCGGGAGACTGTTTCACTGGACTTGCCTAGGGCCTCCGAGTGAAGCTTTGAAATAAGAGCGTTTCAGGCTTTGTTAGAGCAAATAGCAAACCTCAGCACGCCGCAGTCGCGCCCCTCCGCCAAGTGGTTTCCTGTTTGCTTTATTGCTTCGGGTGTCACATCCCCCCTCTGGTAAGAGGGAGCAATCTTCGTTATCTTCCTTCGAAACGAGTAACCGCTAACGAGGTGCATTGGGCTTTCCCCCGTGAACTCCATGTGATTCATCAACTTGGAGACTTTAAACAACTCTTACAACTTCATTCACCTGGCTTCTGTGGGAAAAAGATGATTTGTCTGCTGTCGAGACGAGAGATCAGATCCAGGCTTGCAGACTTGTGCTCTGGAACTCTCGGGCACGCCTCCTCACGTGAGCGCTTGGAACATTCGGGCGCAGCTGCGTCATGAGGTGTTACTCCTCTGCTCCAGTCTTGCCGGGGCCTCCCTGAGCCGCTCTTCCTCGGTGGTGCGCGTGGTGGGCGTGGGGAGGGAGAGCTCGGGAGCAGCCGAGAGTGGCGCCCCCACCGCTCCCCCGTTACCGTTGTTTGACGAGGCCGGTCTGCTTTGTTTGCCTTGAGAGTTGCCGCTGTGCCCGAGGCCTGACGCTGGGTCTTGGAGCAAAGCCGCTAGATAGGCGGAGGCTGGTGCCTGGTCGCTGACCACGGAATGTGCGGGGACAGCTGGGCTGGAAGCCAGGCCTAGATTTCCGGGCTCCGCGTCCTGCCTTGCCCACTGTGGGCGGCAGCTGGAGCCGTGTGTGCTGCGGGTGCTCCGGGCTCAGTTCCTCTAAGAATTTGGGCCACAGTGAACTCTGGGAACAGCTGAGTGTTGAGGCGGGGCGGGCTGGGGCATTCGGAGGCCTGTACCAGGTGGGTGAGCCCGCAGCGTCCCTAACCCCCGGCAGCTGGCCCCGAGGTCAGCAGTGCCCTGGTGTGACCCCTGCCCTCAGGGACCTGCCTCTGGGGAACTCTGCCAGAAGAGCCATACTTAAGCGTTTCTTGACTAGTTGCTTACTTGACATCAAAACACTGATGGCCCCAAGGGCAAAGGAAGCACTTCCGGGCTGGTGGCAGAACTCACAAAGTTGTTGTAAGAAATTCTTGTCACTGGGGCGCCTGGGTGGCTCAGTGGGTTAAGCGTCTGCCTTCGGCTCAGGTCATGATCCCGGGGTCCCAGGATCGAGTCCCACATCAGGCTCTCTGCCCAGCGGGGAGCCTGCTTCTCCCTCTGCCCCTCACCCTGCTTGTGCTGGCTCACTCTTTCAAATACATCAGTCTTAAAATAATTCTTCTCATCGACTGGCCCTGCTGACACTCGGCACACTCGTGTTCTGAGGCAGTTCATCGCTTAAGGATGACCTTTCCCTGCTCGTTTTCCTCCTAGGATAAGAAACTGGACAAGCAGTACGAGTCCCTGTCCCTGTTCCACCCCAGCGTAAGTACCCGCGGGCCAGTCCCGCAGGCGCTCGGGGCCCTGCTGGAGCCAGGGCTGCCCGTTGGCCGCCCCAGCGAGGGCCTGTGGCCTCTGCCGCTGCGCGTCTCTGCCTGTGGGACGTCCTGCGGCGGCGGGAAGGGTCCAGGCTGGAGCCGCCCTTAGTGGCTCGAGGGAGGCAGAGCCGGGAGGGAGGCTGCACCCGCCCCGGCTGGGACTTAGCTGTTCAGCACTGACCTGGTTTAAGGTTTTGACTTTCCCTGTCCTGAGACCCCGACTTGAGGATTGTTTCTTGAGCGCTCTTTTGGGACTCGGATGGCCACTTGTAGGACATGTGGAAGGTGGGGGAGCCTCACCTCTGCCTTTGCTTAGCGGGAGGGGTCACTGTGCCCGAGGGGACAGCCACGTGCCGGGGGGGGCAGGGGGAGCTGTGGGACCTGGGCCAGTCTCTGACTCCGGCTCTTCGCAGAACGTGGAGATGCTGAGCAGCATGGACTCCGCCTCGGTGCGCATCATCAAGCCCTTCCCCGCGCCCCAGACGCCCGGCCGCCCGCAGCCCCTGCAGGTCGCCTCCGCGCCGCCGCCGCCTCCCGCCGCTCCCAAACTGGAGCCCCAGAGAATGGACACGATCCAGGAGGACCCCAGCACGGACTCGCATGCGGACGAGGACGGCTTCGAGAAGGATCCCTTCCCCAACAGCGGCACCGCCGCCAAGTCCTTCGAGGACCTCACGGGCCGTCCGGTGCCGAGAAGCGAGAAGGCCGCCTCGTTCAAGCTGCAGCGGCAGAACCGCGTGGGCAGCAAGGAGACCGAGTGCTAGGCCGCGGCTCCCGGCACGGGGCTGCGGCCGGCGGACTGGGGAGCCCCGCGTCCGTGCTGCGAGGGTCGGCGGGGGACGAAGGGACCACGCAGCAGAGGCCGGTCGCGGGTCTGGACCCGTCACACTCGGGAATTGCTTGTGTGCCGAGGGCCCTGTCCTTTGGGAGAGGTGAGGAGAATCTGGCTTATTTTGAGGCTTTCAGGTTTTAGTTTTTTTTTTTTGGTTTTTAAAATACCCTTCAACCTGTGGTGCAGAAGCAGAAAATACAGCTGGATTAGGTTATGAATATTTACATTTTTGTAAATTTACCTTTGTATTGAGAACAGCACTGATTAAGGAGATCAGTTTTTGGGGTTTTGTTTTTTTTTTTTAATACACTGTAATGATCCGCTGACTCTTGGGAGGCATTTAGCAGTTACTTGTGAGGACAACTGGAACACAGATTTTATTTTTTGCCTTCAGTAAAGACAAAGGAGAGAAAACAGAGTTATACGTTCTTTCTCAACTGTGGGTTCTGTTTTTAGGCATTCCCCAGAGCTTTTAGCAGCAGGGAGAGCCACCCAGCTTCTTCCTAAAGATAGATGTGTGAATATGGTTTCCCAAATTCTGAGGTTAGCACTTTCTAGAATTAAAACAGTCTAGCTTACAAGTAGCCAAACTGAATGGACAGACTCCTGCCAACTGTTCAGGGCCCCAGTTTGCCGGGAAGTTTGTTTTCTAAGTCTGTCTAGTACCACTGCCGCACTTAAAACGAGCGCCATTCAGAAAACCTGAGCGACTTCGAAACGAGAGCGTGGTTTCCTCTTTGCAACACTAGTGGCCACGAGGTACGTGAGCTGGTTCTCATCAGAGAACAGTGGTCGTGAAAGGCCGAGTTGCTCCGTTGAGCAGGGAGGGCCTGCTGCTTCCCTCGGGCCTGCGGCTTCCCTCGGGCCTGCGGCTTTCTGCCGCCACAGCTGGCTCCTGCACACCCCCGGTGGGGACCGCAGGGGACACTGCATTACTTCCTGCTTTAGTGCTTCAGGGCTGTGTGCATTTACTTTGTGAAGGATAAAAATCATCAAATTGAACTCTGATTTCCTTAAAATTAAGAGTTAAAAGCTCCCCTTCCCCCCGTACTGAAATGTGCTCACAGCCAACACATTCTAACAGATAATTTGTAAATTTTGAGGGCAATTAACTGAACCTGTGACAAATCAAATCTTTTCTTCTAAGGACGTTCATTATGCAGATGCCTGTTACACTAATACTTGAACTGATACCTTGTGGTGTTTGCTGTCTTAACTAGTCGTCATATAGTTTAGTTACGCTCCTGGAATCTGATAGGTGAGTGGGTGTATGTGAGAGTGAACGGTTCCCAGCTCCATGTAAGAAAATCGTTTTTTATAAAATTAAGACTTTTTAAACAAATTTTGTCTTTACTTTTTTTCCATGTATACAGTTAGCAGGCGGCCCAGGGTTGCTTCTGTAGCTGAGGCACTGAGGACACCTGCCTCAGGCAGCTGTCACCACAACATAGCACACCGAGGGGCAGAGCTTCCCTAAAAATTCTAAGGCTTTTATTGATCTTAGTGGCAGAGGTTCCGTATTCCAAGGTCACGAGCAAAGGTCTGATCACTCATCCTGGGATCTTTGTGGCACTGTCCGCTTCCATAAGTTACCGGGCAGACTGGCTTTTCTGTGGCTAATGGTCCCCGTCTCCCAGGAGGCTCCGTTCCGGCTGGGCTTCGGCTATGTCCCGCCAGTACGGGAGCAGCAAGGGCAAAGAGGAGACTCTCTTCTCTAGGAGAGGCCAGAGGTGAGAGAACAGAAACTCATTTCCCTTTGGCGACAAGTGCAGCCCGTCGGACAGGTAGGATGAGAAGTCCTGCAGGGGAAGAGGGAAGTTAACCGCGGAGACCCGCTGCTCCCCAGCCCTTCGTGGGCTGCAGCCCCACTGTCCTGTGCACCCTGAGCTCCGTGACCCGTGGGCCGTGCACTGCCCCCTGCCCCAGAGCTTTTAGCAGCAGGGAGAGCCATTGTTCCGGCTCCTCAGATGGAAGAGGCTGGAGGAGCCAACGTGGCACCTTAATGTCAAAAACACGACCTGCTGTTAGGAGCGCTCGGGGTCTGGGGGCCCTAGTCCCGGGGGCAGGTTTCCAGGCAGAAGGAGCTTGTACCCCCAGGCCCGAGCAGGAGCCGCTGCTCCAGGGGAGCAGGCTTTGCCCCAAGCCCACCCCCGGCCCTGCTGGTGCCGGCTGGGCCACAGCTCCCCCAGACCAGCGCTGCCCCAGGCCTCAGTGCCCCCTCTTGCATTTTGGAGATCTCAGGAAAACCCCCTCCCACCCCACTCTAGAAAATCTCGAAGGACTTCGTAAGAGCCCCTCTCGGCAGTGCACAGTCCCCCCCGCCCCCCGGAGCAGGACGGCCCTCCCGGACCTCCTGGATGGACGTTTAGCCCAGACGAAGCCAGGACTCCTGCTGCTGCCCCGGCTGCTCCCGGCCTGCGACACCACAAGCGGGCCAGGCCCAGTCGAGGTCCGGGAGGAGGCCTGGAGGCCAAGTGCTGGCCTCATAAGGGAAACGCGCAGCACAGCCGCTGCTGGGTCCTGGGGACACCGGATACGGAGAAGCGTCCGACTGCCCTCCCGGGGCTGTACCGCTGCGGGGCCGGCTTTCACCTTTGATGGTTGCAAGTGGGCTTTCCGGCTTCAAAAGATTTAGAACCACCTACCTCCACCTATGAATTTTAGCCCCCCACCCCTGGCCTGCTTAATCATTTTACCTTTTAATGAGTTTTATAATGGGGGTGGGGGCATTACAATAATTTGGCCGGCATGTCCTTAAATATGAACCATTTCTGGCTCCTTTATTTCACTCTGTGCTCACTCCTGACTGTCCCGGAGAAGGGTGCCAGCCGCTGGGTGCAGCCAAGGAACCGGGCTGGGCAAGGGGTCCCCCCCAACCCCGGCTTTCTGGTTTAAGTGGTCACAGCGACAAGGGTCGTGCCTACTCAGAGCGGGGTCCCGTCTGTGGGCTTGTGCTCACCCTGAGGCCCGAGCCAGCCACGCACCTGAGTGTCCTTCTGCATCAGGGTCCACAGGTCCAGCACGTCGACCCCGCAGTCCTGGGCTACCTGTACGCAGGCGCCCGCGTATTCGCCAACAACCGAGTTCAGACGATTTAATTTGCAGCCTGTTGAGAGCGAGTGTGTGGGTGGCAGCTGGCCCTCTGCCAGCCCCGCTGACCCGGATGCCTGGGCATGGCCATGGCACGCACCGACGGCCCTGACTGGGGGAGGATGGTCCCCGCGTGCTGTGCTACCTGACGGGGGACCAAGGACCGTGGGGACGAGGGAGCCATGGCTGGTCCCTGCAGGGGACGTGGACCGGAAGTCAGAGGCAGGAGAGCCCTGCGGCTGGAACGCAGGCCAGAGGCGGCCAGAGGGGGGTCGGAGGCCAGCAAGGGGGACGCCGGGCCGAGACCCTAAGTTTGGGTATGTGAGGAGAGACCCCGGCACTGGTGTGAAGCTCGCTGGGGTTCAGCCAGAGAAGGGCAGAGTGGGGAGGGGCTGTGGACACGTCTGCAGAGGGCCGGGCTGTGACTGCTGGGGACTGTGCAGGCGGCTCCCACCCGCCCTCGCTCAGAGGCCACTGTGGCCAGAAGGACGCCTACGGGCCTGTCTTCGGGAGAACTTGCTCGTAGCCTGTGGCTCAAAGCCCAGCTGGCGAACCTCTGCGGCCCTCCCAGGCCTCCAGCCGCATCTACGGGAGTGGAACGGGTCTCACAGAGCGAGGCCGACTATGTCCCAGATGCGGACTTTTTTCTGTTCTGCTCAAAAAATGTTACTCGCCCGGTTTTGGGACCCACAGATGGGTTGCGACCGGCAGTCTGAGAAGCGCCGACGTCGCTCTAACTGGCAGCCTGCTGGCCCAGGCTTAGCACGGACTGCGGGCAGGACGGACTCGCCGGCTCCCAAACCATTGAGGACGGCCGTTGGGGGTCCCCACTCTGGCCCCTTCCTCCCTTTCTGTCCTCTTCTTAGGGTGAACTTGCCCTATTTACCTCCTTTGGGGAACTTTCTGGACATCTCTAGATTCTGCTTCCGCACTTGGAACAGACAGTTTCAACCCGTCCGTTAGAGCCCACTCACTGCCGCCCTCCCTGCTGCAACAGGCAGGAACCGGATTCCGGTCACTTCTGTGTCCGGAGCACCTGGCCAGGTCCTGACTTAGCACCTAGAGGTACCAAGACGAGCAGTGGTGGGGACACAAGCGCCTCCGGGTGCCGCAGGAGAGCCACACACGGTCTCCCTACCCCGGGAGGACAAGAGCGCCTGCCCGGGCCGGCGAGCGCGCAGAGCCGCCTTGGTCCGGGCGCAGGAGCGGTCCCACTGCCAAGGGCGGGGGCACAGGCGAGGCGGCAGAAGGGGCCACGTTCACACACAAACGAGCACAGCAGCGGCTGCGAAGTCCGGAGGCCTCCCCGCGTGGGGACATCGGGGTTCAGCGCCGCCGCAGGCTCTTGGCCACGTGTGCACGTGGGCTCCGGCGGGACCAGGTCGGGCCCCGCAGCCCCGGCGACGAGGCCTCAGCGAGAGACTCGCGGCAGCTGTGGCCTGAGCCGGGGACCCCCCCCGCCCCCCGCGGCGCTCACCCTGCAGCAGGCACTCCTGCTCCCACGCGGCCTCACAGAGCGGGGGCGGCGTGACGAGGACGACGCGGCTCGCGGGCACGCCGGCGGCAGACAGCTGTCGCACCATGGTGTGCAGGTTCGCCGCGTACTCGGCCAGCGGGACGTGCTGCTTGGGGTTCTCGTCTGTCGGGGGGGGGGGGACACACGGACACTGCACACGCGCGCCTGCTCCAAGTGACCGCAGTGAAGGTGGAGATGGGGTCACAGATCCTGGGACTCCTGACGTTGCTGGTTTGGCACAAGGACAGAAACCGGGGCGGGGGGCGGCTCTTCACGCCGTGGACCCCCGGACCCCCGAGGCCCTGGCTGGGGGCCCTGCTCAGCCTCTCCGTGCTCGCATCTCACGGGTCACATGAGGGGTGAACTGGGTCCCCCCGACGGGGCCGTGGAAACGACCTCCGCGAAGCGCGGGGTGCACCGGAGCAGGGGCCGCGCTCACTGGACACGCGGCCGCTGTCGCTGTTGAGTCCACCGTTTGGGCTGCGCAGGCTCACCGCCGCCCCGGCTCCCGTGCAGCGCGCGGGGACTCTCGCGGGCCCACTGCAGGCCACACGTGGGTGCAGTGACAGGAGCGAAGCCAAGCACCCGCGGTTCCCCCGCGCAGAGCTCCCCGGGCGGCTGCCGGATGCTGCGAAGCACTTCGCGTTGACCCGAGCGCCTCCGGACACGGAGAGGACACGGAGCGCGCGGAGCCACGCTGTTCTCCTCTCACGGAACACTGGGGCGCTTCTGTGAGTGACCCTCGAACGCGGTCGGCTGCCGGGAGACCAGCTCGGCGCGGCCACTTCGCCACGCAAACCCCCCTGCGTTCGCTGCCGCAGATGCCACCACGGGCGTCGCGGCCGCCCGAGTGTCAGGCTGCATTTCTAGGTGGCGGAAGTCCTTTGACGCATGCCACCAGGTATCTTTCCAGAAAGATCCCAAGTTTCCCCACCAGTTCCATAAGCATGTGCCCACCTCACCCCACGCTCGGCAGCTCCAAGTATGAGAGCTTTGGAAATCCCTTCAAGGGCGCCTGGGGGACCCAGTCAGTTAAGCATCTGCCTTCGGCTCAGGTCAGGATTCCGGGGTCCCGGGATCAAGGTCCGCATCGGGCTCCCTGCTCCATGAAGAGCCTGCTTTCCCCTCTGCCCCCACCCTGCTTGTTCTCTCTCCCAAATAAATAAAATATAAAAAAAAAAAAAAATTCTCCCTCTTTGCCCCCGCCCCCAGACATGTATGCTCACACGCACGTGCTCTTTCTCAATACAAAATAGCTAAAAATGACTTAGAAAAACATAAGAATGCCTTTACCTTTCAGCGCACTGTCATTGGCACCAAAGAAAATTGTAACTGCTGCTGGGCTGTCCAGACTGTTGCCTTTCGTGATTAATCTTGGAAGAATGATTTTCGCCCATCGGGTATTATAACCTGAAAATCCGCGATTCAGAACATCACATTTTCTGAAATGAAGAATTTAAAAAATGAATTGTGGGCAAAGAACAGTTTCTAGTCCCTCTGCAGGGAGCCCCCAGCATGCACCCTCCAGGCCATTGCACCTGCTGATGTCACGCGGCTCTGAGTGGCTTTCACTTTTTAAAACTTTTAAGTCCCCTCTACACCCAACCCAGGCTCAGACTCATGACCCCGAGATCAAGAGTTGCAGGCTCTCTGCACTGAGCCGGCCGGGCGCCCCCGCCGCACCTTCCCTCTGGGAAGAGCAGTCATGTCGTTGAACGTGGCGTCCTTAAGTCTTTCCAAGATCTAGGTTGTCTTTCCTTGACGAGAGGGGTGATGAGTAACAGCAAAGGGGCCAAGCATCTTGTCTGCGGACTTGTGTGGGGGGTGGGGAGGGAGGTCCTGTCACCAGGAGGTCACAGCAGACCGGTGTCAATCCGAGCAAGCCTGGGCAGAAAGTTACAAGCTGGGGCTTGAGGCTAACAGTGGTTATTTGGGGACATAATATATAGATGATTTGTGGGACTTTTTTATGGACTATTTTTTGAGAGGCATTTTAGGGGTACAGCAAAGGCAAAGGAACAGAGTTCCTGCACACTCCTGCCCCCCATATGCACGGCCCCCCTCCCCCCGGGTGGCAGTTGTTGAAAGTGATAAACCTACACGGACACATCATCATCAGTGTCCCCCCCCCCAACGCCCAACCCGTGGTCTTGAGTCAATTTTAATATATATACTTATATGTACATGTCTGTAGTGTTTGTTTTGCTTCCTTAAAGATACGTGGTTTGATTCACAGTACTGTACGGTACAAGGGAGAGACCATGGATCTTGAGCTAGTCGCCTGGGTTCGTGTCCCTGTTCCTTTACTTAGTGGCCAGGAACCCAGGTATGTTTGTAGACACTTAAAGTTGTCCACAATGAAAATTAAAAAACCCTCGGAGTATAGGTTACAGTCAGCAAACTGACGTGGTTTACTCTGGTGCGTAGTTCCAATTCCTGCATCTCAGCAGAGAACACAGGGCCACAAGGCCGGAAGCAGATGCTGAGACAACAGGAGGGGACTTGGTTTACCACTTCTCGAAAAGCTCTCAAACGTTATATACATCTTGGGGACAAAATAACAAAATTCAGCCGCATTTATTTCTAAGTGTGAGTCTTGGTGTTTTTCATGCATAATGATTACAAAAAGCTGACAAGCCATTTTAAAGACTCAGTTAATTTAAAACGGAATATTCCTGGGGCACCTGGGTGGCTCAGTTAATCGTCCAACTCTTGATCTCAGGGTCATGGGTTCAAGCCTGTACTGGGCCAAAAAAAAAAAAGAAAAGAAAATTTTGACAAGATGAATCTGTTTCATATCCCTCCAATGGTTTAGTCACTGCAATGCTTAAAAAACCAGAAGGCAAGGCAGCTTCCTCCCTTCAGGCCTGGGTGATGTGGCCAGGAAAAGCTGAAAGTCTGGAATCAGAGCGGCCAGGTCTGGACCTCCCTGCCCTGAACTAGCAGATCAGGCCTTGGCCATTTACCTCATTTCTCTGACCTTCAGGCTCCCCAGCTGCAAAACAGGACCTAATACCTAATCTGTTAGGCAGCATGAAGATTAAAAGTAGCCAGATACACATAGGGAGCTCAATGAATGGCAGGCATTACATACTGAAAAAAAAAAAATTATAAGGCTGTGAACTAGGAAAGAAAGTCCAAGTGGGTGAGGCCCAGACTTGACGCTGTTGAGGCTCCCTTCTGAAAGGACAAGGCTACATGAATTTCTCTGAACAGTACCATCAGAAGTGCCCAACTTACTCCGAAGGCTATGGATACTGGCAAATTCAAGACTCTTACTTAAATTCTCAGCTAATAACAAGCATCTAAGTTCAGATGCAGAGGGAAAGGGTGAGAACAAACTGGAAGATTCCTTATCAAACATCTAGCTCGAGGACACTGCCTTCCAGGCACAGCGTAGATTAAGCCATTTTATAAACCAAGCAGGGCCAATCTTTAAAAGTAAACAGCAAGGGCGCCTGTGTGGTTCAGTGGCTTAAGCCTCTGCCTTTGGCTCAGGTCATGATCTCAGGGTCCTGGGATGGAGCCCCTCATCGGGCTCTGCTTAGCAGGAAGTCTGCTTTTCCCTCTCTCTGCCTGCCTCTCTCCCTACTTGTGATCTATGTCAGTTAAAAAAAAAAAAACACAAAAAAAAAAAAAAAAAAAAAAAGCAAACAGCAGGAGCTTTAAAAAACAAAAAGCTGAGTTTATTCTAACTCCTCCAAATCCTTCAAGTATTTTTGGTTAAAGAAATACTGAGATACGGCTAAAGAACCCAATGAAAATATATCAATAAATTTTAAAAGGATTTAAACAGATTTAAGAATTATTAGAATGCTTTTATAACGCTAAAACACAGAAGAGGTCCCTGGGGGACACGATGATGTATTTGAGTTACTGCTCTCCATGCAGGCAGCGCACGGAAGGGCACTCACAGTAGCGCCTTATTTAACTGTACAGCTTGGAAACTGGGTTACATTTAACACTGAATCAGTCCACCTGAAACTAACATAACACTGTATGTTAATTACACTTCAAAAAAACACCAAACCAGCCGTGAATCAGTTCAGGGCTGTGCAAGTGGCTGAAGCAGACACTGAAAATTCACCCCGAGGCGCCTGGGTGGCTCAGTGGGTGGAGTTTCTGACTTTTGGTTTCCACTCAGGTCTGGATCTTGGGGTTGTGAGATCCACCGCCCCCCTCCTCCCTCCCCTGCACTCCGTACTCGGCCTGCCTGTGCCACTCTCTGCCCCCTCCCCCACCCACGCATTTTCTCTCTCCCCCTCTGAAATCCTTAAAAAGAAAATTCACCCTAAGGGCTCGCATAGCTAAAGACGAAAACGCCCGCCTAAGGGCCAGTGGTTTGGGTGGACCAGAAAGAACGCGGCTCTGACGCTAAAAAGGGACGGAGTGGAATTGCCTGGCTTCTCAGCCTCCATAGCCCCCCATGCCAGTCAGCACCAACCATAGCCCTCCCCCCCCCCCCCGGTTTCCCCAGTGGACCCAGTCAAAGTACAGGGGTCCCCTACGCCTGGGTTCTGCTGCCCCACTGTGGCATTTTAGTTCCTAATAATCCAGTGAACGTGGCCTGGGTGTGCATGCCCAGCAGAGGCGGGCACTCCAGGCAGGGGGGGGGGAAGGGTGATGGAGCCCAAAGGGGTAAGAGTTCACTGAGGTGCAGCCTCTCCGTGGGCTCAGTCAGCAGCCACTCTGCCCTGCGGGCCTCAACAGGATGCTTGTCAGTAGTCAGAGACGGGAGGCAACAGACCAGACCACACATGGTCTCCGACTGTCTTTTCTTGTAATTGCTCTCAATTCTGAAAAATAACTTCTGAGTGGTCTTCTAGCAAGCATATGTGTAAACTATCAATTCTCACAGGATTTTAGTACTAAAATTATTCACTAGGAAACATTTGGTAAAAATTATGTGTTGGTAAAACATTTGAGATGCAGCTTTCCAGGCCACTTGAGTTATTTAGCTTTTCAGAAAAGGTTAATAGGCCAATTAAACAGTTATGGGATTACTAAATGTAAAAGCTACTATTTAGTGAGCACTGCCAAGTCCCAGGTGCCCAAGCAAGCTCACATTAGCATTTCCAAGCCTCCCAATATGAAAGCAGGTGACCTTCTCTCCGGAGGCTCAGGACCTCCGGCTCCCACCACCTGCCACTTCTTAGCTGTGAGTGACCTTGTTAAAACCCCTCTGCACCTTATTCTTCTCGTCTATAAAATCACAGGGTGGTTATAAAGATTAAATGAGTCAATGCACAGGAAGCATTTTAGTTTCTGGCACCTGGTAAGCACTCAGTAAAACTTAGCAATTATAATTCTCCCATTTTACAGAAGGGAAAACTGAGTGATACGTCCATGTTTCTAGATTAAGTCCACTTAAATAGGGAAAGCATTTGAGAACAGAAAAAGTTGGAAGGTCAATTTTTTCATTTCTTGTTTAGGGGATAAAAATGAAGGAGGAAGTGAAGACATTTTAAAACACATTTCACATTTGGAAATAAAATACATTTTCTTGGTATGTTAATTATACTGGTGAAGAAATTTTCAAATATTAATAAACTGGTAGTACATCCTGCTTATTTCTTCTAAAAAAGAAGACAAAACTCCTGATCAGGGGACGGATATTCTAAATACTTGTGTTTAGTGTTTTAAATATGGAAAATATTTCTAAGTATTTTTTAACCTCCTGAATTGGGGCAGTGTTCCCCTTTTGATGACTTCCTTAGCACATGCTTACATTAAGTCTGGCAAAGAGAATGCCAAAATCATTACTATTTCTGACCTATTTTATAAAGAGAATCTGGGGGGACAAAAACCTCTACCTAAAAATGATTCTAACTTTGGTTTATGAATATACTTTACTTTCTTTCACTCGAATTCCTTACTACTTGTTTAAATCATACCCCACCCACAGTAATAACTGGAAAAGAACTTGTCTTCTTCAGATGGTGAATAACTGTGTTTGGCTCCAAACCCAGTATCTTTTCTACAATTTTTAGGGTTTGATTTCATATCTGCAAAACTTCTGCTGAACCCCGAGCGCCTGCCCTTCCTCCTACCCTTCCCCAACCCTGTATATACTAACCAGGAAAGGCTGGCAAAGATGAAGGAGGGATTTACTGTTCGAAACTCTATCATTCACTCTCTCTTCTGGGATGCAGTTACAGCTTTCCATCAATGAACACTCGAGTATCAATCTAGAAACTATTCTCACCTGACCAGCTTGTCAGCCAGTGACGCTCCCCATCCACCCTGCTGGAAAGAAAACTGAAAAAGGAAAAGTCCGTTACTACTCATCCATGTAATTGGCACATTTTAGAGAGGGATATTTTGGTCAGCAACTCCTTTTGTTTTCCTCTCCTCCTCCCAGACTTTTTGGCCATCCTTAGCCCCGCTCAGAGGCAGGCATTACAGCTAAACCTCAGTGGCACTCTGGAAATTAGGCGGAGTTTTCTTCCCTATCCACTGGATTTGAGCCAGTCGTCGGCATTTTATTGAGAACTAATACTGGTCATTTTTACCTTGAAAAGCTACTTAAAATTATGTTTGAGAGAAAAAATCGATTGTATGTTCAGTTAAGAAAGAAGGTCCAGGCTGAACTGCATTTCCGTAATTGAAAATAAGGAAGTTAATCACAGAACTCGGGGTGAACCTTTTTTAAACATATTCTTATAAATCTGGAGAACACTTATTGCTCTATTTGCCTAAGAATTGGTACATACACAGAAAAGTGGTTGAGGAAGTCATGTTTGAAGAGACAAAAAAAAAAAAAAAAAACAACCGCCGCGGGAGTAATTTTTGAAAGCGTACTTCCTCCCCGAAGTAGAACATGTATTTTTCTTTAATGGGATTGGGTGAAAATGGGATCTGCTACGTTATTCCTGGAGACACTGTATTCATGACCAGCTTGTTCCACCAGAGGAAGCAGAGGCGAAACTGGTTCCAAGTGTTTTCTGCGTGGAACGGGCTGCACGAAACCTCAGCAGGTGACACAGGCGCCACCGCGCTCCCGCAGGGGACCCCTCCGGAACCCGCGCGCGGGACACAAAGCGCGGTCCGGAAAAGACAGACTCTAAGGTGAGAACAAGGCGCCCCTCCTCGGACCGGGTCCCTGATTATCCCGAAACCTGACGCAAAGCAGCGAACTCAGGCTTTGACACTCCGAGGCGCGGCCGGGGGCGAGTCCCCGCACCTCCCCCCGCCCGTAAAACAGGCTCAACGGAACGGCCGTGCAAGTCCCGCGCCACCCACACCGGTATCTCGAAGGCGGGGCAGCTGGAAAGGGGACGGCTGCCGGGGGGTCCGAGGGCGCGCTGGAGGCGGCGGCTGCAGGAGGCTGCAGGCATCCCCGGGCAGATCCCACCCGGGGGCGCTCAGCCTTCCCCGCAGCCCGTGCGGGGGAAGCGGGGTGCAGGGAGGCAGCCTAGCTAACCGCGGGGCAGACCGGAGGACGGGGGCCCGGTGCGGAGCTGCCCGGCCCGCCGCTCTCAGCGGGGCAGGGCGCGGCCGTGGGCGCCCGAGTGACCCGCCACGTGAGGACCGAGCGGCGGTACCTGGGTGATGGAGTCTCCGAAGAGCAACACCCGCGGCCAGGCCAGAGAAGCCCCGCCGTTCGCAGCCTCGCACAGCGCCATATTGCCGCCAGCGGAGAGGCGGGGCCGGGCCGGATATCCGGGGCGGGGCGAGCGGCCGGGGGCGGGGCCGCCCGCGGAGCCGTGGGTCGGCTCGGTGGCCGTCGCGTCGCCCGCGGGATGACTACCCGCCGCGCTCCCGGGGCTGCGCGGGCTGAACCCCTTTGGCGACCAGCCGTGCGCTAGCCGTTGCCCCTTGGAACGCTCGTTTTTGTCCGTTTCCAAGTCGGACTCGCTGCTCGTTGTTCGTCCTGTCAGGTGCCGGGGCGGGGCGAGGTTTCCGCCAAGGGCCCGCGTGGGGAGACCGTGGGGAAGTGCTTCCGAGGGGCGCGGTCACCGCACGGCCGCCTCTCGTTCAGTAAACGGACTCAAGCATTTATCGAGGTTTTGACCTTAAAGAACAGCTTGAGACGTCTGCAGAAGGCGGGCTGTTCAAGGACGAAGATGGGGTTTGCAGGAGCGGGGAGAAATGAGGGAACGTGGGGGCCCCACAGCCGACGAGCGGGGTGAAGGGTAGAAGCATCTACGATCACTAGGAACCGGGTTCTTGCTGAAGGCGGGCCGGGTAAGATGGGGGGAGGGGGCATTCGAGCAGGTACCCGGCAGGACGCCAGAGGGGCCAAGGACAGAGCCTTGGGGCGGGTGGGGTGGGGGGCGGTTACCTCGAAGACCCCCAGGAGCTCCAGGGCTCAAGTTTGCTCAGAGTCCTCGTCCCCCAGCTGTGCCCCGCAGTATGATGGCCGTCGCTAAAAAACGAGCCATGGGAAGCCCGGCGGGCACGCGCAGCGGCGGGGGCGGCGCGCCTGGCGGGAGAAGGGCCGGAGCCAGAGGCAGGAGGCGGGACGCAGAGCCTCAGGTCTCCGCGCCAGCAGCTCCCCAGCTTCAACTAGAATCGTGGGGAGCTTCAGAATGTGCTCGGAAAGGATCCTCACTCCGGACCAACGAACTTGACGTCTGATGCCGCGATGCGGGCCTCGGTCTGTTTTTACTGCCCGCAGGTGACTCCCGCATGTAGCCAAGGTTAGGCTTGGCTAAGGCGTTTGGACGCGACCCTAATGACAGCGAAGCTCTGACGGGCCTTCAGCAGGGCGGGCTTGGGAGCAGGTGCGTGTGTCTCCGAGTCAACTGGAGGAGCGGGCGCTGTGGCAGGAACCGGAGGGGCCAGGCTGACTGGGACTCGGAGCCACCGTGAGGGGAAGACGAGGGGAGACTTGAGCAGTTTAGAATCTTTAAATCGGTCACCTCAGGGAGAGGGACTAGGGGAAAAGGCACATTCCCTTTCTACTGTACATATTCTGTTGTATTAAGATAGTTTTTTTTTTAATTAAAAATGTTTTAAATCTCTCAAAACAGGGGCGCTGGGGAGGCTCTGTCGGTGGAGTGCCTGACTGGATTTTGGCTCAGGTTGTGAGGTCGAGCCCCGCTTTGGGCCCCGTGGTGAGGAGCAGTCTGCTTGGGATTCTCTCCCTCTCCCACTGGTTCTCTTGCTTTCTCTAAAGTAAAATCTTTTAAAAAAGTCTATCATAACAAAATCTTAGGTGACACGAAAGGTGACGCTTAGAGCTTTGGTTTGGGCTAGAGACAAAAGTAGGGTCTCTTACAGAAATAATTCAAGTAAAACTTCAGATTTGTGCACTCAAGCTTGTCACAGCAATGCAGAAAAGGAGCGCTTGGTGGCTGCAAGTCACTAAGAGGTGAGGCAAGGAGAGACTAACAGGGTCAGTGGAATTTAGAGACCGTGGTTGGCGAATGTCTTCAGCTTGATGGTGAGTGAGACCGACTCTCGAGGTGGGCGTGAAGGTGAGGGCGAGCTTCTCTCGTGCTCGGTCCCCCACATGGGGCAGTCGGACCTGTGCGTGGAAGCGGACCCCAAGGAACACCCCGGCTGACCTGCTCCCGCAGCACACCGCCCCCCACGCTCCTGTGTCCAGTTATCACAAGTCTGAATTACAGGCGCTTCGGGAAACTGGCCTAGTGATTTAATTTATACACAGAGCAATTCAACAACTCACACCTGAATCCCCTGGAGCTTGAGGCATAAAAATAATAGCCCAAGTATTTCTGAATGGCATGTGTAGATACTACACAAAGAAAGTATCACTGAATCCCAAAAGTCATAATTTTACAAATGTACAAATTAACGAATGTGCCAAAAGTATCAGGAGGGAAGAAACAGAAAAGGCACTTGAAGTGCTAATCTCTATTCCCGTTCAGAATATGAAACTGAAAATACAAACCATCACGCCTTTTCTTAAAAAGGACACCGAGACCTTCTGATCCGGTTGCTACAAGCAGATCTGGAAGGTTTCACTGGCAGCAGCACACGTGCCTAGAAGCAGAATCAAATTCTAAAATAATAGTTTATTCGGTAGTTCTGGAATAACGGACACATGAGTTGCTAATTGAGTAGCACTCCAGCTGCTGGAATTGAGGCCGTTTGAGATCACAGGTAACTAGGCTATTCCCAAGAAACTAATGTATTTTAAGTAACAGAAGTTGAGTCAAGCGTAAGAAAAAGCGTTCTCAGAGCCGGAGACGTGCCGTCGTCAGTGAACGGGGGTGAGGGCCTCGTACAGCCTCTGCGCGGCCAGCTCCACCATTTCCCGCAGGGACTCGTCGTCCTCGCTTCCTTCTTCGCATTCCACCGTCTGAAAGCGAAAGCACAAACAGGCCTTTCGACCTAAGTGTCTACCAGTGCTACGTGGAAGACAGGCTGATCCTCTTCAAGAATCATGTCCCCACAAGGTGGGGGTCACAGAAGCCTGGCCCCGGGGGACCCCAAGCTGCGGCCCTCGGGCCTGCACCACACACGTATGCCCGACAGCACCATCACTGGGTCTAATTAGAGACTCACTTTGGTAAAAGGAATAAATGGAAAATCTAGTGAACTATATTTACTTCAAAGCCCATATTCTGACCCAGTAAATGACACTACTAGGAACTCAGTCTGTGTAACACAAATTATTTAGCAAGCGATGTGTGTCCTTGGGTACTCAACATTTGCCATTAAATCTGATTCATACCAATAATCTAGTTATTTCCCAGCTACAAAACACTAGATGCTGTTTTAAAAATATTTTTTATCATACTGTAAATACTGCTTATATAACAACTTAGTAAGGGAAGAAAAAATAACACCCTTAATTCTAGAACCTACTAACTCCTGTGAACATGTCCGTGTATAACCTTCTAGACTTTGAGCTACACATACATATTTCTTTAAAACCAAAATAGGGCAATTTATCATACTTGCGATCTAACTTTTCTTGGCCCTCACCAATACCGGGGGACAACTGTGCCCGTCAGTGATGCACACTGCCGCCTTCCCAACCGACAGCTGGCTGTATGGGCCTCTGTGTCGAGGTGTACAACATACACATAATCTGTTTATTCAGTGAATTAGTTACTGTCTCGTATTCTTGCACAATCCGGTCTCTTGCAGTTTTGTCGATATTATCAATGCTAGAGTAGAAATCCATGCACATATATCTTTGCTCCAATTATTTTATCATTAACTTGTCTATTTTCTTTGATTCAATCCAGTGAGTGGAATTGTGGGTAAAGCTTTTACTTTTCTGAGCCTTTCCAGGCATTTCACCAAACTCCCCTGCAGAAAGAACACGCCACCTCATTTACAGTCCCCTCCCCGCCCCAAAATGCCCTGAGACTAAATGGCCCGGTTTTCCCCGGCGCCAGGTCCCAGCACTCTGGCTCACCTGGGCCCGCGTGATGAGCCAACAGTGAGGACTTTCAATCTGTATTTCCTCTAATTATTAGTGGATTGGAGCTGAACATTGGCTTCGTGTGCTTGCTGGCTGTCCAGATTTCTTCCCTAGTGAACCACTTGGTTATGTTCTTAGCGTATTTGTCTAGTGGGATAAAATTAACTAGTGTCTCCTCAAAGAATATAAAAGAAATTTAAAATCTATGTTATTTAGTAGAACTGTTTGAATCTTCAAAAACGAGCCTGGAAGATATACGTATTCGTTTATGCTTAAATAATGATGCAGGGTTTGTAGTGTGAGACCAGGGCAGGCCCCACGATCCTGAACCCTGACGTCTGGAAAAGCCACTTGGACCTTGCTGGTAAAGCCAGGAACAGCTTTTCTGAAAAAATCTGGAATCAACCGGATGCCAAACAAGAGAAAGTCTGCGGTGGACTGAAGCCTCTCGTGGCAAAGGGAAACTAGAAAGTGCACACGGGAAATGTGTGCTGTGCAGATGGGGAAGAAGCAAGAACATGGGGCGCCCGGCTGGCTCAGTCAGCAGAGCATCTGACTCTTGATCTTGGGGTCGTGAGTTCGAGTCCCACAGTGGGTGTAGAGATTACTAAAAAAATAAATAAGCTTAAAAAGAGTGGATTTGGGGCGCCTGGGGGGCGGCTCAGTGGGTTAAACCTCTGCCTTGAGCTCAGGTCACGACCCCAGGGCCCTGGGACTGAGCCCCCGCATCGGGCTCTCTGCTCAGCGGGGAGCCTGCTTCCTCCTCCCTCTGTCTACTTGTGATCTCTGTCAAATAAATTAATTAAAAAAAAAAAAAAGCAGGACTGTGTAACTTCACATATAATAACAAACAGCCTATAAAGAGCAAATGTAGGGGGAAAAAGCAAAACTGGAAGGAAATGTCAAAATGCTAAAGTGAGCTGTCGCGTGGGAGACCAGAGAGTACTTCTGTTTTCGCTTTCTCTTCCAAGTGTCCTGAAATGTGGGAAGAAGCGGCTACATACCCGTGTCTCCAAGTTGATATTAGCAGTTTTCCCATCCACTGTGACACTGAGGACAGAACCATCTTTCACACTTACACAGTCTTCTCCAAATATGTCCCTTAAGGTAAACAAAGATGCCAGATTAGTGCAGATACATTAACATGTAAGTCAAATACATTTTTACGTCCTGGGGGAAAAGTGATATTGAAGACTGCCCTTGTTCTGAAGTAGAATACATCTACCTGTTCCTCAGATGTACTTTTTAACATTGCATATTAATTTTATAAAATGGGTAAAATACATAGCTATCATTAAGACTGCTTTCTTCAGGGGCACCTGGCTG